CTATAATGACAAAACAATACAGAAGTGAGGATTTCACATCCCAGCTATTGATAAGTGAGTTCTTGCCAGACAGGATGCTATCAAACTAAGTTTCCTTTTACATTTTCTAGGCACTTCCCTTTCTCTGGAGGTGATAGGCATTATCAGGACAGGATTGTATTCCTAACAGCCCAATAGCACCTTATTTGGATGTGACTAGTTTGGAATGTGAGGATGTGACCGTTCGCTTCCCAGCTTATGGCTGCGTCTGCTGCTTAGCCAAAGGCCTTAGCCTAAGAACAGGCCCTCAGACTGTCACAGTAAGAGAAGGCCCTTACACCGGCAGACAGTGATTTTGATTCTTTCTTTTATACCTCTATAACTAGCTAAGTGATAAGAATACACCTAAATTCTTAAAGTCTAGACCTTTGCAGACAGGCTTGCATATATATATCCTAACAAGGACAGATCAAAGATAATTCTTATTGCCCTGGTTTGGCTGCATCAGCAGTGGTTTATGAATCTGCTTCAACTGTCCACCAGTGTATTCATATGTTCTATTCTGTTTCCAGATTTTCCATCTTGGCAACTAGGGCAGGATTCATCATCCAGATCATCAGTCCCTTTACCTCATGTCTTGGGCAGTCGGATTTTGGCTCTGTTTAATCTTGAAAAGTCATGTTCCTCTTTGGTGTAGAATGTACCTCTTAGTTTTAGAAAGCTGTCTACCAGCTGATATTTGAAATGGTCCAGATTTGTTGCTTGGATGCGGGGAAAATCTGATTGTCCTGTCTTAGCTTCCATACCTTGTACTTTAGAATATTTCATGCACAAAAAAACTGAGGTGTTATCTAACTCATATTGGAAAGTTCATTTGCCAGTTCTTTCAGCTTACCATATTTTGGTTGATGGTAGATCGCTATTTGTGCATAACATGGGTAAGGAGTTCATGAAGGGGTTAGCTAATATCTATCCCCCTGTTAGAAATCCTGTCCCTCCTCGGGATCTTAACTTCGTCTTATTTACACTCATGAAACAACATTTTGAACCACTGGCTGTCTATTATTTATCTCTTACGAGATAATTCATTATTTCCATAACAGCAGTCAGAAGGGTGAGTGAATTAAATGCACTGATAGCTGATCCTCCAATTATGTCTTTTCATAAAGATAAGGTGGTTCTTAGGCCTGATCCCAGGTCTTTGACAAAAGTCGTTTCTGAATTTCACATCAGTCAGACAATTAATTTGCCAGTCTTTTCTTCAAAACTGCTTACTAATAAGGGGGAATCTGTTGTATATACTTTGGATGCAAGAAGAGCTTTTGCATATGTAATGATGCTGGTTCTGGCGGGACCCAACTGAGAGTGCCAATTCAGAACAAATTGCTCAAGGCTGGGCAGTTACAGCCCAAGGCTGGGTTTTCTATGCACACCAAACAGAGAAGATTTTGGTTTTACCCAACTGGCTAACCAGAAGTCACACAAGCAATTCCCTTAGACACCCCAGTTTCCCAGTATCACCACCAGTGCCACTCGTTATGTGGACAAATGGTTATGAAAACCAATACACCAGTAAAAGAAAAAACGGTTCTCTCGATCCCAAAGGACCAAGCCCCAGACCCAGGTCAATATACAAATCAGATCTTACCCACAAATCACACTGTTGCCAATCCTTTAGAATCTAAAATCTAAAGGTTTATTCATAAAAGGAAAAAGATATAGATGAGAGCTAGAATTGGTTAAATGGAATCAATTACATAGAGTAATGGCAAAGTTCTTGCTTCAGACTTGCAACAGTGATAGAATAAACTGCAGGTTCAAATCAAGTCTCTGGACTACATCCACAAGCTGGGATGGGTCTTTCAGTCCTTGGTTCAAAGCTTCAGTGTAGCAAAGTCCCTCCAGGGGTAAGAAGCAGGATTGAAGACAAGATAGAGGAGCTGCAGCAGCCTTTTGTATTCTCTTGCCATGTGGTCTGTCTTTCTTTGTTCCAAAGACAAGCTGTCCATCACATGGCATGGAAAAACCTTAGAGTTCTGTCCATAGGCATGTTCCTACATACTTTGCTGAGTCATAAGGGGAGTCTGCCTTCTCTCAGTGGGTCAGTTGTATAGCTGATGGTCCTTAATGGGCCATCAAGCAGGCTAGGCAGAGCTGACATCAACTTGTCTGGAGTGTTCCCCAGAAGCATAGCACAAGTTTGAAATACAGACAGTATGGAGCCAATATTCATAACTTTAACTATAAAAATGTATAAAAACACACATATAGACAGCATAATCATAACCAGCAAACCATAACCTTGGCTTAGACACCTCATTTGACCTCCTTTATACAAGATTTGGTGCCACTACAGGACTTTGGTTGCAACAATGATCTATACGGTCCCAGCTTATGTCAATAACACAGCATATTATTTAAGTAGGACTAAAAGTTTTCAAAAATCGCATAGATTATTCATGTTTTATGCTAACAGGCATGTGGGTTATACCATATCTCCCCAGACTATTTCTAGATGGATTAAATCATGTATTGCTGAATGTTATACATTTTCAGGAGTTCCTATACCTACAATGGTATGGACTTGTTCCACCAGAGCTCTGGTGGTGTCTTAAGCAAGTCCCTGTTTCAGAAATATGCAGGGCTGCAACCTGGAGTTTGGACACACTTTAGTAAACATCATGCTCGCGATTTGGCTTTCAGGGCTGATGCTAGATTTCGTAGAGTGGTGTTTCCGTCTCTATTCAATTAGGACTCTGTTCCCTCCTCCAGATTATTTTCAGCACTGCTGATCAAACTACCCATAAGTGGGAGTATGCAGAGCCACTCAAAGAAGAAATGAAAATCACTACTTGTAACCAAAGTTCTTTGAGATGGCTTTGCATATTCACACTTCTCACCCACTCTCCCCTCTTTCTCAGAGTCCTCTTGTTCTGTGTCTCTAGATTGGTGATGGAAGGAACTGAAGTGGTAGAGGCTTTTTGGCCCCCTGATATAGCCTCACCCTCAAAATGTTTGAAGATGCTGAGGGGAGATGTAAGAATGTGAGCACACTAACAGACACAGCTTGGAGAATGTTCTACCCTTAAACACCAATAGGTGGTGCAGTACCGCATAAGTGGAAATATGCAGCGCCATCTTGTAGAACTCTGGTTATAAATAAGTAACCTTCATTTCTTTAATATTGTTAATATCTTCCAAATTGGAAATATCTATTAGAGAAATGTACACATCTGTTTTTAGAAGGATTTATGCTAATTAGCCAGCATTTTTCTAAAAATAGATTTTTCTGTGTAGCACCATGAGTATCTTTTTTTTTTTTTTTAAGAGGGAACGGCTATCTTACCTTAATGTTGGAGCTGTTCAGGAATCAATATTAGTACCCATACAAATCATTATAACTGGAGCACCCATGTTAATATCAGTTCTTTTTATAGGGAAAATTAAATGAAAAGTTATTAGTATGGAAAGACATTTATTTTCAAGCTCTTTATTTAATGCTATTAGAAGAAGCACAGAAAGGAAAATAAAGTGAAAACTTTTTTTTTTGTTTAATTGAGAGCTTTTAAAATTGAACTAAAATGTCTTCCTTTTTAATTGATTTGGGATTTTGATTAATGTGTAGATGTGAACAATACTAAAACAATTAAATGAGTCTGTTACCTACAAGACTTTATTTTAGGATTTAGGATGTTGGGATTTTCCTGCAGTTGTTGTTGTTGACATCCCCAATACCTCACTTAATGTAATGACTGTAGCTCCCTGTTCTTTTTTAGATTTCAGTGATATCAGTTATTGTTCTAGGGTAAATATAACCCTCAATTCTGGTCTTGGCGAGTTAACCTCTCAATCCACCAATTTAAATGTGGAGCCTTGTTTCATTTTATTGTGTTAGGACTATGTGTGCTGATGCCGGTGCTACATGTGTAAGCACTTCTTGCCAAGCAAACATCTATAACAATAAGAGACTGATATTGTTCCTCTTCCCAGTTTTCTAACTTTTTTTGCACCATTTCCATCATTGATACAATCCTCAATTGCACAGGAAAATTATATTTAGCAGTATGGACCGTTTGGTGATATTGTTCTTCCAACATGTTAGTGCAGTATTTATGTAGCTCCTGAATTTCTTTGAAAAGTGTCCCGGTGATTTTTCCTTCAGGATCTGAATCCACTTACCCTTAGTGTCTATGATGTAGCTTTAGAAACAAAACAGGAAAGAAAATGTAATGTATATTCTAATGACTTGGTCTTGCCATTAGATACATTGGCATCCAGTGTCACAGTCTGCTGTTTTATTTATGCAACCATGTACAAAACCCACATTTTACAAGGACTAAGAATGCACAGCTAAAAATTTAGAGTAGAATCAAGTAATAACCAAATCTTTATCTTGGTTAAGCTTTTCTTTATAAGAAAAAACTTGTCATGTAGATGTATTGTGCTGACTATTATGTACTTTCTTGGCATGGTTATTATTAGTGGTGGGGGCTTCAGAGACTAGCATTAACAGTTGGGCCTAGGCACATTGCACACTATTTTCTTTTTTAAAGGAAGGCCCACAGGTGTGGGGGAAAATAAGCTATTGAATTTATATATTCAGCCTTTCCTGAGACTCTTATTCAGTTCCCTACTATCCAGTAATCTGATTCACCTGCAATTAATCCAATAAATAGCTGTATCAGTGCCACTGTCCCTCATTGTCATGCTGATGTGAACATGCATCAGAAGAAGTGAGTCATTTTGAATTCTTCTTAAACGGAACTCGTTCAAGATTTTATACTCAAGGTGGCCTTGCTTTGGTTTTCACTCTCTCAAAACAGGCAAACTACCTGACCAGTAGGTATTCCTAGCTTTCAGAAGGTTAAAGATAAATAACAAATAAAATGAGTAAATTAAGCCTTCTCAGTCATCCACAAGCATTAACCTTACATTGTAAGTAGAAATTAGTTGTCAATAAAACTCATTTTGTTAGACAGATTTCCTTACCTTGTAATACAATGTATTTTGTCTTTATGCAGGGTTCCAAGTCTGGTGTCTTTGGAAGAGACAAAACTTTACACTGGTGTTAACTATGGTAGGTCAGTCCCAACTCTGTTAAATCAAGTCACGAGATAATTAATTTTGTACTCTTGTTGTTAAATGCATAGCCAATTGATTTGATTACATTTATGATTCATTATTAAAAATGTTTGAGACCAACTAACCAAGCTTAGCCAAACTTATTATCTAAAGACAAAGCAGTACAAAACAGAAAGGAAAGAGTTAATATGTTACCAGTCCTTGTAGGAAACTGTTGCAGCATTTAGTCCATCTTACACAGAAGCTGTGCTCCAAAATACACTCTCCAAACTTCTTATATGTATATTGTAACTTTTTATGAGCATTCTGTACATCATCCAGGACTAAAATTTACCAAATATATTTGTACCTTGTTTTTTCCAGTATCATGGTGTATCTTTCCTTATTCTGTTTTCGGACACTACATTCCAAATCAGTTGCCTGTGAAGGCACCTCCCAAGCTTGTACCAGGGCAGAGCATTCATGTGTCTTGGTTTTGAGAAGTTCTGCATCCACCTGTGTGAAGTGCAGTATTGTGCTGTGCATGGTATTGTGGGATATATACCTCAGCCTGAGTGAGCAGAAAGCAGTTTAGCATGACTTCAAGCTAACCTTTATATAACGTTAATATAACGTGTAATACATATTGATATGGTGTGCAATACATATAACATATACTTTGGCTAACACTTTTGTTGTTGTTGCAGCTGCAAAGTATGTCCTGTGTGAATGCATAAGTGCTGTGTGGTCCTGGTTATTTAGGGTGGTGATCAGTCCTGTATATTTCAGAGAACCTGTCTATCTGTGTGTAGCTGGGGTAGAGTTCGAGATCAGTTGGGCCAGTAGCAGTTACAACAGTTGGTACAGAAAATGGAAGGAAAACTTCAGAAAATCCTGGCAATGCTTAGGCCACGGTGAAAAAGCCATGACTCCCAGAAGGGGAAATCGGAAGCCTTATTTATCATATTAGTAAAACATAAAAAATATTCCAGAAGTTTACTAAAGGAGACAGATATTCAAACTGAATATGCTACTTACAAAAAAAGGGCCTGATTCAGCAGTCTTTACCCACGTACATCCATTTAATTGTGTTTTCATAGTAAATGATTGGCAAGTGAGACCTGAGTCTCTGCCATGTGTACCCTGAGCTCTGAGGTTGCATAGCTGTGAGGGAGAAGAGCAGCTAGTATATGTGTGTCTATCATGTAGCCCAGTAGTTCATAACCTCTTTCTTTTCATGTCTCATAATTTGGGTGCTTCTCAGCTTCAAGTCATACCAATCTTTGTGCCAAGTCTTGTATTTAGCTGTCTTAAGCACCTGGGACCAACTGGGAAATATCTGTATTATTTTTTCGATATGGTGCATGCCTATGTGTGTGTATTTATGATGGGTTACTTGCTATGGAGTTAGATCAAAAGAAGTTGTTAAAGGAACCAAGCGGGAAAGGTAAAATGGTGACTCGGATAAGAAGCCTTGAAGAAACAATGGTGAAGCTGTTCATTGGGGAATATGTTCTACCTGACTACAGCCAGGCTAAGAATGGCTTACTTTTCCCAAGTCTAAGCCTAGGATCAAAAGGAAGATAACAGATCATTAGAGAACCACGGAAAAGGGTTGAGGTTGAATGAGTTGCCAGAGGCTGCCTAGGGAGTCAGCAAGAGGTGACAGGCTGATAAGGAGACACACACAGACTGAGAGAGCACTCTGCGAGCAGGACAGTCTGCTTGTGAGAACCCAGAGATGGAGGTTAACCGGGCTCAAGAGAGCTTACAAAGGTCAAGGGAAATGTATATAGGAAGTACGGATATTGGCATTTCACAGATGAGGAACTGGGGCGCAGAGAAACTGAGTTGCACAATGTCATACAGGAAGCCTATAGTGTAACAGGGATTTGAGCCCAGGTCTCTTTCTTGCAGCACTTCTAAAAGGATTAACCTGGCATATGAAAGATTCTTGTCAGAGGTGAAGCTTCTCTCTTTGAATAAAACTTTATCTCCAACCACTGTCCTCAGTGCTTGAAGGGATGGGAAGTTCTTCTCTTTCTTCCTTCTACCGTTCCCATTGCCTGGATTGGCAAAGTGCTACTTTACCATCCTCTCCAAGCAACCAAAGAGAATAGAAACTCCATTCTTTCCCCTTCTTAATTGCCTGAAGGATAAAGTCCCATCCCTTGAGCATTCTGCTCTTCTTTCCCGCCCCAGTCAGTGTATTCTTCAGAGCTTGTGATATGATGGGCACTCTGCACCACTCTGACGTTGCACAGAACCAGACTCCTATTTTGCTCTCCCTCATCTTAGGCAAAGCACTTGACCACTACTAACTCTGCCTAAAGGTATGTCTACACTGCAATAAAAGACCCGCAGCACAGCCATTACTGGCCCAAGTCAGCTGACGTGGGCTCGCAAGGCTCAGGTTGCAGGGCTAAAAATTGCAGTATAGGTGTTTGGGCTCTGACACCCTGTGAGGGGACAGGGTCTCAGAGCCTAGGCTCTAGCCCAAGTCCAAACATCATCATTCTTTTTAGCTCAGCAGCCTGAGCCCTGCGAACCTGAGTCAACTGACCTGGGCTCTGAGACTCCATGCTGCAGGTTTTTTATTGCAGTGTATATATACCCTGAGAGGCAGTACAGAAATGTGTCCCAACCTACATGGGACTGTAAACCATTTTTACCCCTTTGCTTGAAGAACCATTATTGTGCTGATTTAGTGAACGGAGATGAAGAACTTGAAAGATGTCCTGTCCAGTATTTGGTCTGACAGATGGTGACTGCAAGATAGGATTTCAGCATGATGTGGAAAACTGAGTGGGGTACCCCATGACTTTGTCATAGAGATGATCAGGACTGTTTCTATTAAAGGTGTATGTATATAAAAATTTAATATTTTTTCCAAAGTCTTTTTATATTGCCCTTATAGAGTCCCATACCTCATATGATTTGAGGTATGTAAAGAAACTCTAATCTGTTCTTAAGCTTTTGCATGTCACACTCTGAGTTTCCATTAATTGTTTTTTTAGTTAAGCTTCTCTATATTTTATAACACTGTGTAACTTAGAGAATATACTTTATGTATAATGAATGTTCTTATTATCTTTTGTAGATTTATCAAGAGAGAACCACAGAGAAACCATGGCTAGGGTCATAAGGAAACTACTGCGTAAGTACATTTTTGTCTCTCTCTCATTCCTGTATTCAGTACATCTGCAAAGATTTGCTTTAAACGTTGTCAATCTATTGTGCTTTTAAATCTAATATCAGTATTGTAGAGCAAAGCAAAAAGGCAAAATCTGTTGTTGTGAATTGTATGGCAACATAAATGACACAATGTTTTGAGCTTCACAAGTAGCGAAAATATTTCATTGAGTGTAGTTAACTCTTTGAACTGAGCTTCATATCAGATAACACACTTTTTGTTTCCATTCCAATGGTAGACTATATACTCAACAACTCAGAAGATGATACCAAGTCTTTGTTTCTAATCATAAAGGTATAATAGTAATTTTTATGTGTTTTATTTTAATTTTAATGGGTTGACTTGTTTTACATAATGTAAAACCATTTGTTTCTAGATCATTGGTGATCTCTTACAATTCCAAGGGTCTCACAAGCATGAGTTTGACTCCCGGTGGAAGAGCTTTAACTTAGTGAAGAAGTCAATGGAGAACAGGGTCAGTATCTTGTTTACATAGTTTAGTTAGGGAAAAACAACCTTTTTAAAGTTTTAGTTTTGGCTGTTTTTTGGCCTTTACGGTCTTAATGGAACTTTGCATGCATTCCTAGTGAAATTGATATAAGTTACAGTGGGCTGATGTATCATTAGAATATTTTTGTTACAGTAAGTGCCTTTTTTCAAAAGGTTTTAAAGCACTGTACAAATGTTAAGTCTCATAACATCCCTTTTTATGTACTGAATATTGATACTATTAATGATAGATCTTTGTTAATTTGCTAGTCACTAGGAAACTACATGCTGGGATTTTTTATTTTTGGTGACTTATCTGCATGGAAATAATACAGTCCTTGGATATTAAATTGCTGCTATTGCTAGCACTTGTGAAGCACTAACGATGTTAGAACCATAGATGCCAATTAAGTTGAGAAGCATATAGGAACCAAACTCTTTTCCCTTAGTTTAAATAATATTTAGCACTTCTCATCAATAGATCTTCAAACACTTCTCAAAAGTGGGTAAACATTAATATCTGCTTCTTGCAGGTTGAGAAATTGAGGCATGGAGAGTTTAAATGAGTTGCCCAATGTTATGAGAAGTGAAATCTAGATTACTGAACATGGCTGCTGAAGTAGAGAGCAGAGAAGGCAATCTTTGAGGTGGTTAGGTCCTCACGCATTTAAAGCAATAAAGATAAGGACCAAGATCTTACATTAGGCCAGCAGCAAATGTACAGCATGATCATTAATGAGAATGTGCTCTTGTCAGTCAAGTCCCCCATAGATACCCACACCAGTAGCATGTTGCTACTGCATCTTAAACCATCTGTAGGTGCATCTTGTCTTCTGCTTTAGTTCATGAGAGAACAGCCGGAAATATCTTAAGGAGATATTGTTTTGAGGTGGCAAAAGTGTTAGATAGCAGTATGTGACAGATTTGGCAGTTTCCTTGGAAAACCATATTGAATTAAGTTTAAATATTTTGGAGTCCATTGTATTAAAGGAAAAGATTATTGTGGGCCTGCATGGTCATAGATCTGTATTGAACAATGTGGCAAACAAGAATGATCTTTTGGGACAATATCTATGAAGTGGAACCCCTGGGAAATAGCTTGGGGGAGATGAATGCAAATGTCCTTCGCCGATTATGCAGAAACCAAGCGTTTTGAAGCTATGCCCTGAGGAGAAAACCATTATCTGCTCCCAAAGATTGAGATCAGAGGCTCAATCTGTATAAAGAAACAGGTTGATCTGCACAGTTGGGGTGCTTGTTCTGAGCTGAGGTTGTTATGAACTTGAAGCCACAGAAAAAACCCTTTGGTGAGGTTTGAAAGATTAACTCTGATTGGAGCCCCTCCTGGTGTTGGGAGGGAGGGTGATCTCTGATAAACTAATTAGCATGCACATAGGTTCTTTTATTGTTTTTAATATGTTTTTTCTGTAGTGCTTTCACCTTAAGGATAGATGTGCTTGCTTAGAAATGTCTGTGTGCTAACTTATAACCATGATCAATTATGCTATTTATAGCCTCTGAATAGAAAGCAAAATGTGGACACAGGCCTGTCTACGTAGTCTGGCTTGCTGGGGAATTCACAGTGTAGGCAGGAAACTGTGCAGCCTGAAAAATCCCCTCGTCAAGAGGAAGAGAGATTCAGGTCTTGACCCAATAAAGATTACTGCTCAGGATCCGGGAACCTAGAGTGGGTGCCTTTTTTGGACCGCAGAAGGGAAATACAGGCGCAGTTGCCCCAAACTGTGACACAGTAGTTAAATCTGTATTCGAGTGTGTAGTCGCCTAACTCACCCAAGGCTTTCCAACCACTACAGCTATTTCTGTGTTTGAGTAGTGAAGTATTCACCAGGAACCTGAGATTGCATGCTACCTTGATAACTGGGGTTGGGGGCAAATGCACTCAACAGAGGATAAAATCATTGTTTTATTAGTTCTTCAAGAATTCCCCTTTCTTGGATTCCCCTTCCTATCAACAATCACTGCTACTTTCACTGGATTCAGTTAGAGCCAGCTGTTCTTCATCGCCAGAGTGATTCTTTTTCATCCACTTTGTCTCAGTTTAGTTAGTCTCAGTTTAGGTAGGTCTATAGGATGCTGTGGGGGGGAAAGGGTTCTCCCCCTGTGGTCACTGGCACTACCAGCTGCTGTGGCTGACCATGGCAAATCCCTGGGCTTTAAGAACTGCCCACTCTGTCATGCCTCTGAACAATGAACGCCCGTGTTCTGTCTCAGTTAGGGACTTGTTCTGGAACTCTGTAAAAACTGTAGGTACTTTTCAGAGTGGACCCAGCAATCAAGGGTTGTCTGATGAAGCAGTGATAAGGCCAATCTCTGACCTCAGACTTTAGGCGCCTGGATCCTCAGGAGACTGCTGGCTGTTGAAAACTGCCCTGGCTTCATCATCAAAACCAGCCAAATGCTCACTCAGTCCTCTGGCTTCCTCATCTGGGAAGGAGAGAAATGGATCAGACTCAGAGCGCAAAGAGGTGAAGATCATCCCCCTCCCTGGATCCGACTTCAAGGTTGCATAAGACTGCGGTGCATTTGGACATTAAGGGTGCCTCAGAACTTAGGAAAAGTTCCCTACGCACGAGAACTCGTACCAGCTGAGTGGACCTAGCCATAATAGAGGTCTCACCTGATGCTGTCGTGGCTGTTTTAGCCTTCTCATTACTGAGGTAGTCAGAAAGAAAGATAGCCCAGGACTGGATAGAAGCCTGACTGTGGTGCTGGTCATTCTATTGCCCCCAGCACCAGCTCCAGTGCAGTTACTGCCATACCAATCTGTTGGTGATCAAGCACTTTGGACCATGCTGACATGGCTGACACCTGTGCGGCTACTGGAGCTGCATTCACCCTGATGCTGTCCAGATTTCTGGGCCCAGTGACTTTGATGCTTCCACTATCTGGTCAGGTTCCCCTTAGACCCACGGGTTGAGCACCATCCTTCCCAAAGGACTGATTCTGACTCAAAGGAAAGCCATTAGCCATCCCTGGTCAGGTCCTGCTACCCAGCGGTATCAACCTCATCTGGGGGATAAGAGACGTGTCCCTGTGGTGGAGGGTGGAACCAACCCAGCCCAGTACTGGGATCACTGAGACCACACATTGTGGGGCCTGGTGCTATATGATCATGGCATGTGGACCCCCTGGGGACTGCAGTACTATCCAGGACCAGCCTCTCCACCACACTCGTGAGGCAAACAATCACCCCTGTGCCAAAGACTGGACCTGTCCCTGCAGAATCCCTGGGACCAGGAGTAGGCGGCTCCAGTGGATCAGATCCAGAGCAAGGGACGGATGGTACTGGCCATGAGCTCTTCTAGATGATACCCTTGTTCCAGAACAGTCAGCTGCCACTCTTGAGGACTAGAAGATTTTCCAAGACCTCATGGGACATGGGTATCAGTGGCCTTAGAGATACCTATGCAGGTGGTGTGGGATATGCCACACAAACTCCTCAATATCCTGTACTTGGTACTGGGACTCATAGTGATCCTGATAAACAAGGGGCTACTGGAGCCCATGAAAGCCTTATGGCAGACACCAGCATCACTGGCACTGACATCCAAATGGACAGCTAGATGGTACCAAGTCCTGGCTATTGGATATGAACAGAGTTCTATTTGCATCCAGTGGCCAATGAGCAATCCCATTAGAGCAGCCAGAAATTGACCTCTAAAGATGAGACGGTGAAGCACCTAAAACGCGGTGGCCAGAAATCCTACTCCACTTCGAGCTTCCTGATGAGGATCTTGAACTACCAGGTGGTCTTGGCAAAATGCGACCACATCAGCTGCCTGTATCTTACAGCTGTTTGAGAGGCTGCCACACGATTTCAGGGGTGACTTCCAGGCCAGCCTGGCAAAAGGTCATGTGGTGGCCAGAATTGCGTTGTAGGCAGCTTTGGACATACAGGCACTGCCTCCAGGGCGATGGCAACAACAGTTGCAATGCGCCACTCCTCCTGGCTGGCCTCGGCAGGCATATCTGAAGAATTTCAAACAGTTATTGAGGACCTGCCACTTGAGGGCTGCTCACTTTTCCACAAGAAGACTGATGAAGCAATGAGATCTGTCACAGGGTCCACTCACCATAGATGGTGCCTCCTCCTGGCCATTCAGGGACTAGCTCTTCTCATTCACTGCCTACGATGGGACCCCGGGGTGCAACCTGGAGTCTGGTATCCCTCTCATTCTGTGATGCTGTGTCAAGCCACAAACCTTTTGCAGGTATTGCATTTACACAAACATCCACAGGCAGGGAAACTCCCAACTGAGTTACATTAATGCTTTCTCAGCCACTCATGAACCAACAATAGAGAGGCACCAGCCAATTCCCCCCAGTTCCTCAGCCTTGCACCCCAGAACTGTACGGTCTAGCACTGGTCAGAATCCTGGTCAGTGTAAGTTCATTCCCTAGTCCGCCTCTCCCTCGATGTGGAGAGGACACACGCTAGCCTTTGTAAACTGAGCTGATATTTCCCAAGCACTTCAACCAAAACACACAGTTTTATGTAAAATATGAAACAGATTTATTAGCTACAGAAAGGTTGATTTTAGGTAATTAGAAGTAGCAAATGTAGAGATCTAAGTTGGTTACCTAAGAAATAAAAATAAATTTGTAGTCTTGAGTTCTACAAACTAAACAGGATCCCTTCCCTTGTTCAAAGTCTGTTCTCCAGGTGTTGAGTTGGGCAGGGGGAGTGGCCAAGTGATGATGTCACTTTCCCTCTTTTATAGTTTCTTCCAGGTTGCTGGAAAGATTGTTTGACATGGAGAATCGGGCAGTCCAAATTGGTCAAGCAGTCTCCATTGTCTACATGTTTTCTCTGAAAAGTCATCTGGGATAGCCACTGGGAGAGTGGATTCCCTTTAATGAGCCATCAGCATGCCTGGCTACTCCATTGTTATACCTGAAAGGCTGGTTGTGGGTGTCTCAACCTCACAACATATTTCAGTAACACACATAGCAAAACTTCATAACTTCACATCCAATGATACCACATACAATCCAACAGGATATTAATATTCAACAGATCAAGACTTTTAAAATGATACTTCACAAGGCATATTTTGGACAAAACGTATCATAATCATATCACCATTGTGAATATGGGGGTTCCAAGGTGCTGCTTTGAGGCACAACGTGTTGCACTGCCCCTATGATACCAATTCCCCAGTGGCTGGTACGGGAACCTGGGCCTGCCCTCTACTCCAAGTTCCAGCTCAGGGACCCTCTAATCAGCAGCCAAGGTCTGCACCTTCCTGAACCTTGCTGCCTTTTCCCTGAGCCCTTTCCTTACCTTCTGGCTCTCCACCCTTCACTTGGTTTGCCAGCCCCACAACTCCCTCCTCCCAGAGAGTAACTGTAGGCTTCTTGCCTATATAGCCCCAAACACACCTCCATTCTCCCAGGGAGTGACTGCAGACTACTTCCCTGCAGCCTCTCTCTGCTGTATAGAAGCCCCTCCGGTTCCTGCACAGGTGAGTTTCCCCTAATTATAGCTTTCCTCTCAGCCTGAATTCTCCCAGCTTGCAGCCTAATAGGTTAATGGTCCTGGGGATCTCTATCCTGGCCTCCAGAAGAAGGCGCTTCAGACCCCAACCCTATCCATGACAGTTGTTCTTCCAGTATAGGCCATCTGAGCCCCTAGGTCGCAAGATTGCCTAGGTCGCAGGCAGAGGCCCTTGAGAAGAAAGTCTGTTTCGGGGGTAGGGGGATCTACCTCTCAGTTGCACCACCCTGCTTCAGCACCGACTAGGCAGCAGATTTGACTCTGTGCCCAAGGACAACATACTATTCCTTCCACAATCATTGCCCTCCATTCCTTTCAGCAAACATCTGGCTCACTTCCAACAGGCCTGGTCCAGCATCAGACTGCTGGGTATTGGAGGTGGTCCAGAGAGGCCACACAATTCAGTTCTTCTCCCCTCTCCACAACTAACGTTCTTCCCCATCCCCCTTCAAGGACCTGTCCTACGAATGTCTGCTTTGACAAGAGATGCAGTCCCGTCTTGTTTTGGATGCTATGCAGGAGGTTTCCCCTCAGTAGAAGGGAAAGGGGTTCTATACAAGGTACTTACTTAGTCCCAGAAAGATGGGGTTTCATCCAGTGTTAGACCTCAGACCACTGAACACCTATAACAAGAAACACAGGTTCAAGATGGTCTCCCTTGGCGTCAGTTATCCCCTCCCTAAATCAGTAAGACTGTTATGTTGCCCTTGGCCTCAAGGATGCAAAGTTTCACAGTGCAATACACCTAACGCACAAGTCCTTCCTCAGGTTTGTGTTGAACAACAATCATTACCAATTCTGGGTTTTGTCCTATGGGCTCTCTGTGGTGTCCCATGTGATGGTGGCCTATCTGAAAAAGATGAATATCCAGGTGTTTCCATAATTAGATTGGGGTTCTCTTTTGGTGGCCTCAGAGTGGCTCTCCTATTTGGTGACTCTGATATTTTTTCCTAAAATACTTGGGAGCTGGAGCTTGAAGCCCTGTGTCCAGATCCTGAAGCCCCACAGATGGGAGACGGTGCCTGGGGATGGAGCCCAAAGCCGTGTGGCTGGAACCTGGGGCCTGCTGCCATGCACCTGGAGCCCTTCAGCCCCATCGCCCCCACCTCCGCAGGTCTGAAGCACAAATCCTGAGCTCCACTGCCCCTGGGAAGTTGGGGAACTCACTGCCTGCCTACTCCTCCAGCGTTGTGCCCCAGGTGTCTCCGGAGGGGGGCAGGGTCCAACCCCTTCTGGCAACCCCAGCAACCAACACCAAGGTGGTGCATCCAGGAGCAACAGGGAGGGGCTGCTATTTTGCCACTCTTCCCCCCCCACCCCATCACTGCCCAGGAGGCTGTGGCTGCAAGAAAAGCCCCTGGTGGCCACATCTGAGAAAGGCTGACTTAGATGACTGGCTCATCAGGGACCACTCAGAATCTAAGGTCTGGATCAGAATCATGTCCATTTGCCAGCTGTTCACCTGCTGATGAATAAGAAGAAATCCATTTTCATAGGGATAACTTCATAATCTCACCCAGAATTCATAAACTGTACAGACGGACACACCAAAATCATCAGACACTGTTACCTTTCAAATAATAGGAAAAATAACTTGAATAGTATCTTTTATTCAAATATTTACTAAGGATTTTGAGTTGTATATTTTTCTTTTTCTTGCTCTACTCAAAAATGTTGTGTGTTCTCTTCTGATTCTTCAGAGGAATTTGTGCAATATTCTATTTTTAGAATTATGCTGACATCTGCTATTCTGATGCACAAACAAGGATGTAAACAAAGAGTCGTGTTAGGTTCAAACTCCAGTAGATACAAAAGGGAAGAAGTTTGCTAAACAGTAGAGTACTTTCTTAGCCTCTTAAAGGGCATAATGAATTAAAAATGCTTCATAATCCTGCCTATTGGACTGGAAGATAAGGATGCAGTAAATTACTATATATAGGCAGTCTCCCATCTTCCACATGGGTTTTGTTTGTAACACAATGGCAACAACACTATTAACCTCTTGATATTAGATTGATCAGAAATTCCATCTAAGATCCTAAAGCCATATTTTCACTAGAGATTTTCTGAAAGTTTCACATCCTTGCTCTAGCACTGATGATGTTCCCCTGTGGTAAAGCAGTAATGGGAGATGTAATAAGTGTGATATATAGAAGTACTGATAAATACCAAGGCATAAAGACAAAATACACAAGTAAACAAATGACGGAAACCAGATTTTTGCTCTTAAATGTGGAGATAGTCACAACGCTATGCAAAGGGGTCCTTTACATGGGGCTGTATGCAAGCACCAGCCCATGAGAATGGTTGAAAAGGTGATGTTGAAACTTCAAAATGCAAGAGTATTACCAGTTTTGCATGCAAGCCGAGGGTTTTGGCAGGTCTGACTTGATAGGAAGTGAAAAATTGTTCACCTTTTAAGTCCCTTTTTTAGTACATATGTTTAAGTGAGTTTCCTTTGGGATTGCCTCGTCACCTTAGGTATACCAAAGGCTCATGTTTCAGATTTTTGAAGATGTGGATAGTGTGGCAGAACTTGATTATCAGCTGCTGATGGGCAAAAATAAACACCACAATGAGACTGAGCAATGTTACCAAAGAAGATAATCTTAAATTGACCATAAACAAATACCAGATTTCTTTGACTAAAGTTAGTTATGAAGGGCACATGCTAAGTTCAGCTGGGCACGAGATATAAACTTTTATGTATTGAGGCATAAGCCAGCTTCAAATTGCTGAGGGGTTAGGAAAAAATCTTTAAGAAAGTTGGGGGCAGTTGTACAAATATCTAAGCAAATTCATGCCATGATTAACACTGTGTAATAAAGAAGTGACATACAAGAGTGCTGTATGAGAGTGATCATTATTTCTTATCTCCAGACATATGACATGGGTCAAGGTTACAGTTTCACTCCATCACATGACGTGGATCAATATCCACTGACACCAGTTGTCACTGTGGCAGAAGTTTTTTTAAAAATCCTTTGTATAACTGCACCCCAACAGTCAGAATGTCTCACTGTAGAACCCGCTGATAATATATATTGTGTACAGAAAACATAAGAGGTGAGAGTTCATATTTACATTGCTAAAGTTAGCTTTGAGATCTGAACCAAATTACTCTGATTTTTTCCTTGCAGCTTCAAGGAAAGAAGCAGCATATTAGAGCCTTGCTAATTGACAGAGTCATGTTGCAGCATGAGGTAATGTACATTTCTGTACTACCAATTTTTACTTGCAGCTATACTAGGAAACGTTAATCTGTAACATCTTATTTAACAAAAAGCATTCTCAATCTCTACAATAACTTTCCGCTCTTAGATTTGTAAAATTGCAAATAGAGCCTGTGTCTAATTGGGATTTTTCTACTTCCTTTAGCTGAGAACTCTAACTGTTGAAGGCTGTGAATATAAAAATATACACCAAGACATGATTAGGGATCTTCTGTGTTTGTCTACAAGTTCCTATGGTCAGGTAAGAATATTTCTTCTGTGCTAAAGTAATTCAGTCATCAGTTACATTTATTGAGTTTATTTTCAACTTGATATTTGCAGTGAAATGTAATATAGCTTTTAATTCGTTGGTAGAATTCAGTGTCACAGTATCTTTGTTTTTTTTTTCCGTTTCAGTAATGTATGAAACATTTTAATTACTCACATAATTCTTTCCAAGGCTCTGTCCAATCCTGGTTAGGCCCAAAATTTGACTGATTTTTTTGAAATTTGCAAAAGTGTGTTTTGTCCTATGAATTAAAGACTTACTGAAGTCAATTGCAGCTGCACTCACTCATCCAAAACCAGAATTGGGACCATAGAATCTTTTGATTTATTATTAAATCTTTTGATTTATTTATTAAACTTTAATCTCATTTGTATTAAGTGCTTAGCAAATGTGCCAGATTGACAGTTGTGGAAACTGAAGTCTTCAGGTCACGGAACAGATGCATCCCATGGCAAGACAAATGCACTGACTCACCTTCCTAAGACCTGCACTTTAGTAATTGAAGGGAACTAGGATATCACTGCTTTGTATATTCTTTTGTGTACTTGTAGATCTGTGGTAATGCTTATCTTTCTACAGGTCAGAAGTAAAGCTCAGCAAGCATTCTTCACAGCACTGGGAACATACAACTTTTGTTGCAGAGATATCATTCCTTTGGTTTTGGAGTTTTTGCGGCCAGACCGACATGATGTTACTCAGCAGCAGTTTAAAGTATTGTCTCAGTTACTTAATTTCAGATCTGTCTTCAGTTTGTGTGTAAGATTTTAATGGTTAAAATACATGTGGTATGGTGTAAAGATTTTATTAGCGTAACTTTGGGATGGTTGAATTACTCATGGTTAGCTAACCCTAAAGTGACTTAGGCAGTCATCCCAAAAAAGTGCTCATAAAAAATATTTTTATACCATTCGCCACCTTCATGAATATACCCCATTTCATCAGGATCTCAGGAATTATGAATGCTTTATGCTAATAGCTGTTCACTTTTATATCCTAATTAAAACAAAAAAAAAAATAGTGCAAAGCAATAAAATCTCAGCAGACTGTTCTTAGTTCAGTAGTTTTTTTAGCAACCCTAGTAGAGCAAGGAAGGAAGAACAAAGAGCTGATCGACAAAATGTTGTGCTAAGGCTATGTGTGCACTGCCCCACAATTCAGGCTACAGGGGTGTGAATAGCAGTGCGCACCATTAGTGTAATCCTGTATGAAGAGAATTACATTAATGCGAACTAGGAACCTTTTTTTGTGTGCCTGCGGTGTCCACACAACGGAGTTACAGCGCAACGCTTTGATGCTCACTTCTGTTCATGCCATTCATAGGCCGAATTGCAGGGCAGTGTAGACAAGCCTAAGAAACACAAGTTGGTAATTTAAACTACCATAAATAGGTTTGTAGAAAGGCCAGGTGTTTGTTTATTCATTGTGGTTATTGAAATGTGTTCTGTGGAAATAGTTCCCTCACAACCATTCTATGAAAGAGAAATCCAATTAGTCAATTAATCAGCACTACTTGCACACACTACTGAAATAAATATTTAATATGTCAGAATTGTGTGGAATATCTTGTATATATTAGAGATAAACTGGATGGTTTAATCTCAGTTCATGTTACAATTTAATAATTTGTACAATGCAGAGCAACGAATTTTTATTTTATATGAATGACTGCTTTATATAACTTTTAATATTACAACTCTTGTTTACTGTAGGGTGCCTTGTATTGTCTTCTTGGAAACCACAGTGGAGTATGCCTGGCAAATCTTCATGATTGGGACTGTATTGTACAGACATGGCCAGCAATTGTTTCTTCTGGACTTAGCAAAGCTATGTCTCTGGAAAAGCCATCTATAGTGAGACTCTTTGATGACCTAGCAGAAAAGATCCACAGACAGTATGAAACAATTGGATTGGACTTTTCAGTAAGCAAAAAAATTACTTAAAAGCTAACATCACATTCAGAGGCTGTTTGACTTATATTTGATAAAATGAGTCAGTCGTTTAATAAATTTTACATGTTTCGGTTTAGCTTTGACTACTAATATTGATGTATTGATTTCATTCTGATTTCCAGTATGCATAAATATAGACAAATATATCTAAGACTGGAATATTATATATTTGAGTTTAAGATTATTAGAATTTGACACCTTCCCCCCTCTTTCCCCCCCCCCCCATTTTTAGAGGCCAGGTATGCAATGGGAATGAAAAATAACTTATCTTTTGGCTCTTGTCAGGTGTGGGCCCTCCAGCTCAAGGTCACTGTGCATTTGCAGGACAGTGTGGGGAAGCTTGCACTGTCAGTACTTGTGTTGTGTCTGTTCTGTTGTTAGTCTAACAACTTTCACAATACTAAATTTACTTAATAAATGAAACATGAGGACAGAAACCATTATCATAAATATTTTACCATTTTTGTTTAACTATAAAATCACAGTTTGTGCATGGTTTACTCCATGCCTTAAAATATAGACATGTAATCATAGCTCTATCAGTATTTTAAAACTACTAAATTTTCCTCCATCTTATCATAACAAGACTACTGAGAGCAGTGATTCCTGTCAAATAACAAAGGAGCAACCTGAATTGCCTGTGTAGGCAATTTTGTAAAATATAAAGGGAGGCTTATTCATATCTATGTGGAAGGGACAGTATGAGCACTTCATTTGACTGCCTTTCTGGGTGTCTCCTTTTCCAGAAGGATGGCTAACATTATTTGGCTGCTATTCAGTTAGAGATGTTTCCCTTCTCTCTCAACAGGTTCCAGAGAAATGTGTCGAGATGGCCATTCTAATGCAAAAAGCAAAAAACCCAAGTGCCAGTGGGATGATGCTTAGCTCAGAAGAGATTCAGTTAGGAATTCAACGACAGAAAGAAAAGAATGCTGAGGCCTTGCAGTAAGTTAGATTGGTCTATGTAGACTTCAGTAAGCGTAATAGTTTTTAGTCGATAAACATATACAGTTCATGAGTGATGATGTAAACTTAATCTAAAATTGTTCATTAAATGTAATATCCCAAGAGGATGTGCTATTTTTCTTCTGAGTTTTGAGGCTAATGAGAAATCATTATTTGTGACATCTGTGTGTAGGCTTTTCTCTAGCAAAAATGAAACTGTTTAAAAGTAATCTCTCCTTCATAACCTTTTTTTTAATACGTTAGCCTACACGTGACACTGAACTCCAACCATCTTTCCTTCCATTGTTGCATCTTTTTAATTTCTTATTGTAGCTGTCTTTCTGTAATTCTTAACTACATTGGAAGGGACCCCACTGACTTGTTTGAGAACCTGTATAGAATGGAATATTCCATATTCTCATCACCATAGTGCCTGAGCACCTTCCAGTAGTGTGTTAAGAAAATGGCACTTCATCTCAAAATTTTGTACCAGTTATAGTTACTAGTACTTATTAAGATAATACTTCAGACTAATGAACGATTTTTTTTTCAATTGATTTACTTTGTGCGTTTGACAGCTTTGTTTTCAGTCACTTTAATGTGTTTGTGCTGGTGTACCCCCTTCCGTGAGGTCTTCAAGAGGGTGCACACCAATAACAGAAACAGTGCAGCTGAAACAGAAAAGGCAGCAGTGTGCCTGAGTATGAGACAACACAGTAATAAGAGAATATTGCTTACTTCTGGGGGAATTCTGCATGAAAAAATTAAAAATTCTGCACATAATATTTTAAAATTCTGCATATTTTATTTGTCAAAATAGCACAATATAATCACACCAGTTTCAATTACTTTGGTAATTTATTTCAAAATACTCGTCAGCAAGTATGTCTGTAACAATACAGACAACGAAAAAGATTCAGGAAATGTTTTTTGACAAATAGATTCCTTACTAGGCATATTTATGCAAAACTTTGAATAATTCATTTAAACTACAATACAGAACTGTATTTCCCACCCCTCTCAGAAGCAGCCCAAAGTCTTGGGGGAGTCAAGGGTAATGGAGGAGCTGGGGGGGGGGAAAGGAGCCAGGGAGTGAACCTGGAGGGTTGTTGGGTGTGGGTGGGGGAAGTATGGAACAGTTTTTTTGGGTGGGGTGGGGAGGGATTGTTAGGGATCCTCACCCATGCAGACCTTGGCAGACCCCTAGCCTCTCCCATTCAGTCAGGCACATCTGCCCCTGTCCCCATGTGTCCCTCCAACCCCACTCAGGCACCCACTCCCCCCCCTTCCCATGTGGCCCTGCACCCCCACTCAGCCACCCCCATGTGGTCGTGCATCGCCTCAGCCAGCCCCAGCCTGGGAGCGGCTGCTCTGTTCTAGTACCACAGCAGCCCTTGGTGGTCAAAAGGCATAACTGCAGGAACTTTCCGGCAGAAGTTATTTTCTGTGGGAGAAAAAATTATGCCTGGCACATGAATTATGTGCACGCGCAGTGGTTCAGAATTCCCCTGGGAATAATTGCTGCAAATAGACAGAAGGAATGGATCAGCCTTAAAGCAATGACGTTGACATCTGGTTTGGAAATTCATTTAGAGAGTTGATGCTTGGGGGCAGTGTGGTACGGAGGGGTTGGAATAATGGAAACAGTTTCCCGGTCCCTCCATGTCAGACAACCTTAATGGTGGAGTGTTCCCTGTCTCCATGGCAACTGGGAGCGGATGAGATCTTTGCTCAGGGCATGGGCTAAGGATCTCCCCGTAGGAAGATGCTTCCAAGAAGCACACACTGCAGACTCCGGGTCTCCCTTTGTAGCAGAAATTTCACAGGATTTGTTTTAAAAAAAAAAAAAATTAACTAAATGCTCTGTTCCTTCATTGGTTTTGAGGTTTTTATCCTCAAAACTGCTAAATCTAGTCCCAACATTTTTTTATTTTTGGCTTTCTGAGGAGAGTTTGAAGGACACCACCTGTCCTCCCTTTTCCTCTCAGAAACAGGAGACAGAACGCCTCGGGAACCCAGCTCTCAGTTGGCATGTTGGGAAGGTCCACACTGAGACAGTTGAGTAGGCCACATGGAAGCTCCCTTCACTGAGACGAGTCCTGAATGAGTGGCATGGAACGGGGGATAAGTTTGTTTTGTTTTGTTTTTTTTCAAACTCCCCTCCCCCTTGCACCTCTCTCCCCTTAGCTCTCTCCTAGGAATGAGGATTGTATTTCCCACAGCTTTCAGAGCAAGCAGGAAAGGTTCACTGGAGCCTCCTAAATCTTGGGGGAAGAGATACCCATAGTAACCCCAAGGAAGAAATTCCTGTTCCCAGCCAGTGTGTAAGTAAGATTCATGCTGAGATGGTTGAGAAGGCTGCAAAGTATCCCCCTTCCCACAAGCTGTTTTACCTGCAAGGGCTCAGCTGCCATGAAAGTGGGCAGCTCCTGGGACATTTGATAGTAATGAGTAGGGCCCTACCAAATTCATGGCCGTGAAAAACACTTCACGAACTGTGAAATCTGGTCTCATCCCATGCTCACCTTACTTCTGCGCTGCCTTCGGAGCTGGGTGGCCTGAGAGAGGTGGCTGTTGGCCAGGCGCCCAGCTCTGAAGGCAGTGCCCTGCCAGCAGTAATGCAGAAGTAAGGGTGGCAATGCCATATCGGGTCACCCTTACTTCTGTGCTGCTGCTGGCGGCGGCTCTTCCTTCAGAGATCCGCTCCCAGCCAGCAACTGCTACTCTCCAGCTCCCTAACTCTGAAGGCAGTGCCACTGTCTACAGCAGCGCAGAAGTAAGGGTAGCAGTGTCGCAAACCCGCCTCCTCCGCCCCCAACACACACAATAACCTTGCAACTTCCCCACAACTCCTTTTTGGGTCAAAACCCCTACAATTACAACACCATGAAATTTCAGATTTAAATAGCTGAAATAATTAAATTTACTATTTTTTAAATCCTAGGACCGTGAAATTGACCAAAATGGACCGTGAATTTGGTAGGGACCTACCGATGAGTCATTTATCTCCAGTGTCTCTGACTCACTTTTCATTTTGTATAGTCTGTCACCAATCAGCCGAGATCCAGCAGCAGGGAGCATGGGGTGAAGTGATACAGATCCCCTTACCTGGAGGATGCACCTAGCTTCTCTCCTCTTCCAGCCATCCCACAGGAGGGCTACTGTTTTCCTTAGGACAACATGCAGGATACATGGCTGCAGATTGTTCTTTCAATCTTTCTGATAACACACTTTCCCCCTCCTAGGGCCCCGTCACCATTCTCTCAGAGGTCTGGCCCAGGGACTGGTGAAGGCTGGTGCTCACAATCAACTCGTAAAGGAACAACACAACATCTTAAAACCTTTCATGAGAGAATCTCCCTTCTAGATTCTCCAAAGAGAAGTAGAAATATCTAAAACTGGTCTATAAGCGAGATACCTCAGACTCTCAGCTAAGCTTCCCAGAGTTTAGCATGAATGGAGATCTAACTTAACAGGTGCATATGCTTTTAGAAAATGAAAAATCCAAAAAAACCCTCAAACTCTGCAAAGTTTACTCCTGGAGGAATTCTGCACCATTGCACAAGTGCAGAATTTATGTCCCCTGCAGATTTCTTTGGTTCCCTACAGAAAAATGACTTTCCCATAGATGAAAACTTGGATATAGCAGTGTCAACCCTGGACTATTAACTGCAGTCTCTGATTGTTCATCTGGGAGGCCATTGGGAGGGTAGATAACTCCCACCTAAAAAAAACAAAAGAAAAAAAACCCCATATATAAAATCTACCTTAAACTAGATTTCCATAACAGCTTTTATGGGACTGATGTTTCCCCTGACTGTTGTTTGCTGCACATTCAAAACTTCCAAATATGTGTTGTTACCCTTCTAAATGTTTTGTTGGTAAGCTCTTTGGAGAGCATAGAGACAAAGCAGTCACTGAGGCTTTAGACAAGGGAATTGGTCCCTCCCTTGTTCCAGCGAGAGAATCTTCAATCTACCTCATCTCAGCAAGTGTTCCCTTTTAAGCTGCTGCTCTTGCAGGTTCCTACACATTAGGAGGAGGCTTTTTGCTACATTTCCGGAGTCGAAAGACTAAGGCCACCATTTCTTGGAAAACCATCCAACTCCAAAAGCTGCTCTTGATTTTTGGGTTTCCTGAGTCTGGGAAGATTCTCTCTTGCAACATCCCTCACCTAGATTTCCTATGAGGGGCATTTCAGGGTGGGCTCCCATCTGGGAGTGAACCACTCAGAAAAAGGGTGCTTAAGATAATATTTATCATTTCCCCAAAGTAAATTAAAATAAACCGGCACTGTCTCATGCTATGGACTACCAAACTCACTCTTCCATTTCCAGCAGATGATTCTTCAGAAATCTGGTATTTGTGAACAATTGCTAAGTTAAATGTTCAGCACTTCTTACAGAAGTAGCCTTGTTCATGTCCTGGACATAAGCCTCTACTCTGTTACTCAAAATTCTGTACCAAGAAGGAAAGTCAGTGTCGGCCAGCTCACCAAGATACATGAAGAACCAAGGGAATGCCGTCTAGATCAGTTAGCCTTTCAGTGCATTGCAGGCCAGTTTGAAAGGCTATTGATGGCTCTATTTGCATCCCAGTCCAGTTGGAATATCAAGAGGTGCTATGTGAGCAAAAGATACACCAAAGTGTAGGTTGTCGTCCCCTTATCTCAGAAGTGGGCTAAGTGGCCTCCTTTATGCTCTCCCCCCTGCTGCTGATAGTAAAGATGGTAAATCAGATTGTGAAGGAGCAAGACCACAGTAATTGTAACTGCCTTCTCATTAACACTCAGGTCTTGGTTCTTAGACCCAATTTAAATGTAACTGGAACCTCCTCTCAAACTTCACACAATGGGGGGCTGATTCTGAGTCAAAATCCAGTGCTGCCTAGCCCATCACCTAGAAAGGAATCAGTCACTCTTTCTGAGAAAGTGATAAACATCCTCCTAGTATCTTGGAGGAGATTCACAGATATCTGTATATCACTTGAGGTGTAGATGTTGATGTTACAAGAGACACACATCAGGGGACAGTCTGCTAAAGCTAAGGATCTTCTGGTGTTAGCCTGACCAGTGGACAGGTGGACAAGTCAGTGACTTCGGGCATATTGCACTGTAAAGAAATCCATGAGAATCTCTCCTCACCAGCACATAACAGATGGCTGAGGACCACCATTCTTACCAGTCCTCAGTCAAAACACAAATTCCTGTCATGTTCTTGAGCTGCATGCTACAAATCCTAATAAAACTGCCTTTCATCTTCACATTGGTAGGTCTCTTCCTCCTCTCCCTGGAAGTATTTTGCCTACTTGCCCCCTCCTGGTACCAAGGGGGTTTTGGAGCTTGGAATGCTCTCAATGAAGTCTCAGTTATATGCTCTATCAAACATGGTAGTTCTGTAAACTAAGCAGGCCTCTGTCCCCAAGGTAACAGCAATCTTTCTTATATAATAGGAAGTGGTATTTTTGTCCTGGATGAAGCCAGATATCCTAAGGAAGTAAAATTCATAAGCTCGAGGTAAACAAAGCCTACATAGGAATAAAAGTTTATATAGCATAGGCATTTGGAGCCTGAGGTACAACTCCTTATTACCACGTACCACTCGCTCTGTGGAAAGAGCAATGATTTTTTGGAAAGATCACACACATCTTATTAGAAGGTCTATAAAGCTACTACAGTACCTTTCATCCGCATTTTTTTCAAACACTGTAGTCGACATTCTCATCCTCGCCGAGGCAGCATTTGGTGGAAGGGTGTTACAGAAGAGCGTTCCCCAGTAACTCTTATGTTCCTTTTCATACCTGCATGGGTAAATTAAACCCTTCCCCGCCTCCCAGGGATGACTTACTGTTTTCTACATCCCACTGGGAAGATTATCTGACATGAAGGGAACTGAGGGAAAAGTCGGCCTTAAATTCACAGGAAAGGCCTAAAACTCAGCCTTACCTGTGAATTTTCGTTCTAGGACATGCCATGTTATACAGTCTGACCCTTCCTTGGAGGACTCTGAATGGCATAAATTTTTCACTAAAAAGTGCTAGAAGAGTATTAAATTAAAAAGGGCGTTGTTAAATGAAAGGACACAAGAGACGAAAACAGTTGTATAGCTCATTTCTCCCTGGAGCAAGGGGAACAGTGGCTAGTAGGGAGCTGATTACAACTCCTGATTGTGCATTGGTCCAGCATCTGGCACTGACTGACTCCCATTACGTCCTATACCTCCCCCTGCCATGGCTTTAAGCCAGGGCTGGGATCTGGCAAAGGATCCTCCTCATCAAGGGTTTACACACCAGCAGAAAGTTCCCCTTCACATGGGGAATTGTCCATAGTCCATTTACAGCCAGAATCTGGTCACTTTGCAAAGTGGCCAGACAGGACTGAAGAATCTAAAATAGAGCACCTTTTATTGGTATGGCAAAGCACAGTGTATATCAGAGGTTGGCAAACTACGGCCTGCGGGCCACATGCGGCCCGCGGGACCCTCCTGCCCGGCCCCTGAGCTCCTGGCTGGGGAGGCTAATCCCCCGGCCCCTCCCCCACAGCCTCAGTGCACCGCAGCTGCAGAGCCACGGCCTGACCCAGTGCTCTGGGCGGCGCGTCTTTATCGATGCCAGCCACCGGTGCTCCAGGCAGTGCGGTAAGGGGGTAGGGGGGGCTGGATAGAGGGCAGGGGAAGTTGGGGGTGTGGATAGGGGTCGGGGCAGTCAGAGGGTGGGGAACAGGGGGGTTGGATGAGGCAAGGGTCCCCGGGGGGCAGTCAGGAATTGTGGGGGTGTGTTGGATGGGGTGGCAGGGGGCAGTAAGGGGTGGTGGGACAGGGAGAAGGGGTGGTTGGATGGGGCAGAGGTCCCAGGGGGCAGTCAGGAATGAGAGGAGGGGTTGGATAGGGCGGCGGGAGGCAGTCAGGGTTGGGGGTCTGGGGGTGGTGGATGAGGCAGGAGTCCCAGAAGGGCCGTCAGGACAGGGACAGTGGGGGTTGGATGGGGCAGGAGTCCCCGGGGGGGCCGTCAGGGGGCAAGAAGCAGGGGGGGTCAGATAGGGGGCAGGGGCTGGGCCACCCCTGGCTGTCTGGGGAGACACAACCTCCCCTAACCAGCCCTCCGTACAATTTTGGAAACCCGATGTGGCCGTCAGACCAAAAAGTTTTCCTGCCCCTGGTGTATATCCAGGCAGATTATGAAGTACATACAACTTCTCTCTTATACCAGCTTTAGGCAGGAAACTCTGCTGACCCTATGGAGTTACTCCTGGTTTCTACTAGTGTACATGAGGGTGAATCAACCTGCGCGCTTGTCAGTAATGTCAAAAACCGAGACTTGAATATTTTGATGATATGCAAGTTTATCTAATTGGATAGAGACCAACTGGTGCATTCTAGGGAAATGATACCCTGATTTTCACACCTCCAAAACACAGTGCAGAAAATGCCACTCAGCTGGGCAAACTAGCTGCCTTTTAAGACCTTATATGGGCAGAAATTTAAAGATACTATGTTGGTTCACGTTAGTTAACTTACTCTAAAACCTAAACTTCTAGTCAAGACAAGACAAATTAAAACTTAAACTCGACCCTTTTAGCATATGCTAAAGTATAGCTTGCCATGTCTTGACTCGAGTTTTTAAGGGTTTTAATTAGACTTAGCTGACTAACATGATCCAACATCACACCTTGAAATCCTAATCTAGACAAGCCACAGTGTGGAGGAATCACCGTAATATTCCTCCCTTGACTCAACAGCGATTCTCTCCCCTCCAGTCCTTCCTCTCACAAAAGTTAACATGACATATACACAACCTCTGCAGTGTTATTTTAATTACCAGACATTGTCTGTAGTATTTATATTTGTTGTGAGAATGAAGAGAAAATATAATGCCTTACTTTGTTTATATAAAGATTCTTTTAAACACTTCTCTCCATGATGTCTAGTTGTTGACAGTACACTTCAAGTCTATAGACTCATTTTACTTTTTTTTTCAGAAACTATGAAAATTTGGTCAACATGCTGTTAGATTGCGTGAATCAAAGAAATCTGTAAGTTTGCCTTTCTCTGTGAACTTTTTTATGTGCTAGTTTTTCTGAATTAAAAAAACGCACAGTAAAATAGATAGCTTAGATAACTGGAAATAACACATGCAGCCTTTCCTGTACAGGACTGGTTAAAATGCAGTTTAGATCAGTAGTGATCAAAAAGTTGTACTGTCTAACATCTCATACATGAAACATATTTGGCCTTCGCCTACTTCTGATGGACAAGAACCAACATCAATTGGAATGGATATAGGGGGACAGAAGGGCCATTTGTAGGGTTGTTCAACTCTCCCTCCCAATGGAACAGGGAAGTGTCAGGTCAACATGAGGAATCTTGCATTGCTGCCCTCCACCCGATTCCTGTACTATAGGTGAATGTAGCCTTGCAGTAATTAGTAGTTGTTGTTTTCAATATCTCTGTCCATTTCTAACAATTTCTGAGTACAATTATTTATCTAGCGTAAAGATGGCAATGAAGTGCAAGTACTTTTAAATTACTGTTAACCAGGTATATTATTTTTAAAATAAATAATAGTTTTATAAATAACTAGCTAAATAAAGATATGTGAGGTCTAATTCTCAGTTGCATTAAGCAGTTTTACACCAGTCTAACTGTAAAGAGCCTTCACATGGATGCAATTTGCACGCACTTCAAGGCCCATTTTTTCTCCCCAAGTGATGTAGACAGGCCTTCTTTTAATAAGAATGATGCCCGTATAGTGTGGTTGTGGAATAGAACGTTAGTTTTATGGTGGTTAGATACACCTTCTTAACAGATGGTTTTTTGCTTTTAGGTATATTTTTATAACCTTTTTTGAACAACTGCATTACATACAGCACTCCACTATTCATTGTATATGTTGTTTTTTAGCCCCTGGAAGTTTGAACACATAGGCATTGGCTTTCTGTCTCTCCTCCTGAGGGATGATAGGGTACTACCTGTCCGTGCCATAAGATTCTTTGTGCAGTGTCTCAACCACGACGCAATAGTGATTCGCAAGGTAAAGATGGCAAACTGATTAAAATTTCTTTTGTTTTTTCAATCCCTGATCAAATGGTGGTGGTGGTGGTTGTTTGTTATTTAGAGGCTCCAGTTGGGGAGCAGGGCCCTGTTTACACACATAAAAGTACATCCCTCAGATTGCATATGATCTTGGGAGTCCTATGACAATGGCAGTTGATCTGAGGGCTTTTGAATGAGCAAAAATGTGTACTATTAATTTTGTTTATCCTGCTTGTCAATGAGACTTGGACACACTTTCAGCATTGTGGGAGGCTGGGGGGAAGAGGAAACTAGACGGCAGGCTTCGTACTATGCACACCATGCGAAAGAGGTTTAATTCTATGTCTCATGCAGTGTTCCCTCTAATTTTTCCCACGTATGTGCAGAATGAATTTTGTTATGTGCACCAATGTGGAGGTGATGTGTGACACACAACAAAATTCATGTGGCGGTGGCGGGGCTGAGGGGTTTGGAGTGTGGGAGGGGGCTCAGGGCTGGGGCAGAGGGTGGATTGGGGAGGTGAGGGCTCCAGATGGGGATGTGGGCTCTGGGGTGGGGCCAGGGATGAGGGGCTTAAGGCTGGGGCAGAGGGTTGTGGTGTGGGGGGGTGAGGGCTCCAGCCAGGAATAAGGGGTTTGAGATGCAGGAAGGGTCTCTGGGTTGGCGCAAGGGTTTGGGGTCTGGGGGGAGTGAGGGCTCCGGCTGGGGGTGTCGCCTCTGGGGTGGGGACGGGTTGGGGTGCAGGATGCCTGGACCTACAGTGGGGAGAGAGGGCCTACAGCGGTAGCTTCGGGGCTGGGGCCGCGGGATAAGCACCTCTCCCCCAGCCATAGCAGGTCCAGGGCTGGGCTGGGTTGAGGCCAGGGAACGGGTACCTCTCCCCTCTGCGGCAGGTCCGGGGGCTCAGGGAGAGACATCTCTCTCCACCGCAGCCCTGAGTGCCTGCATGGTGCTTAATAGGTTGCTGCGCGGCCATGCAGCTTAGAGGGAATTTAGGTCTCATGTTCTCTGTGATGAGGGGCCTGAGATGACTGTGGAGGAATTAATCTTATCTGCTGGTGTGACTAAGTGCCACATGATGATGTTGACTGACTTTTTCAAGGGAGTGCCATTTACCTGGGAGGATGAGTGACTATGTTCTGAATGACTAGACAAATCCTTGCACTGAAAATGTGAAATGGATGAATTAATCCTCATTCTCCTTTTCAGATGGGTATCTCAGCTGTTGCTGGCATCCTCAAGCAGTTGAAGAGAGCCCACAAAAAGGTGTCCCTCTGCCCTTATGAAGTCAGTAAGTGTTTAATAAGAGATTTCAGATCCTAAATACCTAAATTTATCGTGAAGCTTTCAGGAAATGTATTTTCCCACCTACCTTACCAATAGAAAACACATGTTCTCTGTTATTATGGTATAAACAAAATGGGTAACCTAACTAAAACATTTTTCACTTGCCTTTAAAACAAAATGTGTTCACATCTCACAAGTAGATATGTACTCGTAGTTTATTCAGCTGGTTGTAGGGAGGGTCATGTGTGTATGTACACATTTTATATATAGACACAGGGCCTGATCCTTCTCCCTTTGAAGACAGTGGGAGTCTTGCAATTAACTTGAATGAGAACAAAATCAGACTTGCATATACTAATAGGTGCCTCTGCTTTCTGTTCATTCCTTATTCTTTTTATGATCCAGATTATGATGAACACTATGTATAAACAAATATTAAATAACATTCTTTTTATATTATTTCTGAATTTGTCAATGTGACAGATTACTTTTCTTGGTTCCATGAGTCCTATGAACTCAACATTATTTATTGTAAAGGTAAACATTTTAAACCTGAGTTCAGGATGTTCTTTCCCTTTTTATGCATGCATGCATTACAAATAGGAACAGGCAGAAAAACTTCACCTGTCCCTTAAACAAGACCTCACAGGCTCGAGTGTTGTTTAAGTCATTTTCACTACAGGATTTCAGTCTGCTGTTTTGGCTCCTCTCAATGGTGCTTCACAGTACATCACACATGAAGATAAAAATCAAATCTCTTCTTAATATTTGTAGGGGTTAGTTAAAGTTGTAAATCTTGTGATTTAATAGTATCTTTGTAACAAATTTTCTTGGTTTAAAAAATTGCTGTGTGAACAAGTTGTCTCCCTACTTCAAACTACATGCTTATCCTTTTCTCTATTGCACTACCTGTAACCAAAACCTTCCTAAAAACTAGATATGGAAAATGAACTGGAAGCTGAAAGAGAAATGTAAGCAGAACTCCTGGAGGATGAGCAGCATTCAAAGAAGTATTTGAAAGAAAATATGTTTGTCTTTTGTACTAAACACCCAAACAAGCTTTACAGATATCGGTCCCGTCTAGACTAGACTTCTTGGTTGTGTTGTACCTTGATTGTAAGCACAAGTATGTGCTCCATGACTAAGGTTGCCATTGTACATGTTTTCCCAGGGTCATCAATTTTTTTTTGATGTAGCAGTTCCAGGCAGTCTTTAAGTCGTGCGGCTCTTGTAAGCGCTCTCTGCCAAGTTGTGACCCACCCATGGATTGTCTGCGTTGCTTGGGAGAAACCCATATCAGCGAAAGGTACAAGATCTGCAAGTCTTTCAAGCCCCGGACTAAAAAAGAAAGGGATGTTAGGCTCCGGGCCATCCTGATGGAGTCGGCGCTGGCCCCAACCCCGGCACGCTGCTCTGAACGGGTACCTGGCACCATGGTATCAGTACATGGAGACCCTCCGGTACCATCATCCAGTTGGCACCACTCCCTGTCCACGGGGCACGCCAAGAGGACCGGAAAGACTCCCTCTTTGCAACAGCACTGAGGGAAGTCTGGGACAGAGGCTAGGCCCATGTTGGGTAGTCCTCGATCCCCATCGGGCCCTAGGCCTCTGACTCATGTTGAGCAGAGTAGCCCGGCCCCTTCGGAGCAGGCCTCTCCGGATGTCCGGATGCCATCTATGCCCGAAACCCTCTAGGCAGCCAGAGATGTCATGTCCATGCCGGTGCCTGGAGCTCCGCCAACGTCAGCCCCATGCTCCAGAGGCAAGCCGCCGCTGGGATCACCACAGTCGCCACCGGCCCGGTACTGGTCTCAGTCGAGGGAATGTTCCCGACACTGCTCACCGCCTAGCAACCATTCAGGCCTCAGTCCATGTGGATCGCCCTCGACGCCAGCCAGACTGTCTGGATGGGTGCCGTCCGACTGGGACTCCCATCACCACTCATCTTGGTGAAGCGAATATCGACGGGACTTTGGCGGACGTCGCCAATGGTCCTCGTCTCGCAGGAGATACCGCAGTTGGTCGCGGCACGATGGTCAACACTGTTCCCGCTCAGACTCCCGTTCCAAGTCTCTGCCAAGGCACCATAGCCCCAGGTTTTGATCGCCCTCGTCTCGCCGACACGGGTCCGCCTGTTGAGGCCATTCGCGGAGCAGCTACAACCATTTGTGCCACTCCTCCGCATCAAGATCGAGGTCCCGTGGCTGACGTAGATCCCGGCACCACCAATTCTTCCGGTCCAGAGGCAGCAGCGGATCATACGCCAACCCAGCCTCCCCTCAGAGCTGCCCCTCTACAGATCAAGCTAGCCAGCCCGAACAGCTGGCTGGCTGGACACAACATTGTCCAGGGCTTCTCTCCCACCAGACAAGTTTGACACCCCGAAAGGGTTCATTGACTCAGTCACAAGGTTCCCAGTAACAACAGCCAGGGCTTGCCCGCAACTGCTGGGTCACATGTCTGCGTGCACATATGTGGTCCGTCACGCCAGACTCCGAATGAGGCCTCTCCAGCTCTGGGTGGCCTCGCAGTTCTCCCAGGCCACGGACAGAATGGACAAAGTCCTCACCATGCCGAACTCGGAGTTCACCTCCCTGCGGTGGTGGTCCTCCCCAAATAACATGCTCCAAGGGGTCCCGTTCAGGGACAGGGCCCCATCATTGGAGCTGGTGTCCGACGCGTCGGACCTGGGTTGGGGGGCCCATGTGGGGAACTTTCAGACCCAAGGCCTGTGGTCTCTACAAGACCTACCCCTTATATAAACATCAAGGAACTCAGGGCGGTGCAACTGGCGTATATGGCCTTCTGCTTGCACCTGGAGGGCAAGGTAGTCAGGGTCCTCACAGACAACACAGCCTCGATGTTCTATATCAACAGGCAAGGCGGGGCCCGATCCTCTGTCCTCTGCTACGAAGCCCTTAGTCTATGGGACTTCTGTATAGCCTATGACATCTACCTAAAAGCCTTCCACCTGCCGGGCGCCTGGAATGTGAGGGTGGATCGCTTGAGCAGGGATTTTTCCTCTCAGCACGAGTGGTCTCTACACCCAGAAGTGGCTCACCAGCTCTTCTGAAGGTGGGGTACTCCCCAGGTGGACCTATTTGCGACCTGGCAGAACTGACGATGCCCCCTGGTTCTGCTCTGGGGGGGCCTAGGGAGGGGCGCTATCTCCGATGCCTTTACCCTGTCCTGGTCAGGCCAGCTCCTCTACGCCTTTCCCCCGTTCCCTCTGATCAGCAGGGCCCTGGAGAAAATAAAGACAGACAAAGCCAGGGTCCTTCTCATTGCCCCGGCGTGGCCCAGGCAACACTGGTACGGGACCCTCTCGGGGCTGGCGGTAGCTCCATGATGGCAGTTTCCGCTCCGCCCGGACCTGCTCTCTGAGGACCAGGGCCGCCTCCTCCATCCCAACCTAGCAACGCTTCACCTCACGACGTGGCTTCTCAGTGGTTAGGTGGCGAGGAAAGAGCGTTCTCAGAACAGGTTCAGTGCGTCCTCCTCGAAAGTAGACAGCCCTCCACTCGCAGCTCCTATGTGGCAAAGTGGTCTCGGTTTTTGAGGTGGGCGGCAGACCAGGGTGTTTCCCCGATGGCCACCCCAATCCAGCTTATCCTTGATTACCTCCTCCACCTGAGGGTCCAGGGACTGGCGCCCTCATCAGTCAGGGTACACTTGGCGGCCATATCAGCCTTTCATCCTGCAGTGCAAGGGCACACGGTGTTTTCCCATGCTATGACCAGCTGGTTCCTTGAGGGTTTGGACCATCTCTACCCATATTCCAAGCCCCTGGTTCCACAGTGGGACCTAAACCTGCTGCTGGCTCATCTCAGGGGGCCCTGTTTGAACCACTGGCCACTTGTTCCTGGTCTCACCTCTCGTGGAAGGTGGCCTTCCTGGTAGCTATCACGTTGGCCAGGAGAGTCTCGGAGCTCACGGCCCTAACCTCCAAACCGCCGTATACAGTCTTTCATAAAGACAAGGTCCAGCTCTGCCCACACCCTGCGTTCCTCCCAAAGGTGGTCTCCGCCTATCACATGGGTCAGGACATTTTTCTGCCAGTCCTCTGCCCCAAGCCTCATGCAACTAGTGAGGAACGCCGTCTCCACACGCTTGACGTGAGGCAAGCTCTGGCTTTCTACCTCAAGCGGACCAAGCCGTTCAGAAAGTCTTCGCAACTGTTCGTCGCCTTAGCTGAGCACACGAAGGGTCATCCGATTTCCACTCAGCGGCTTTCTAAGTGGATGGCTTTGTGCATCCGTTCCTGTTATGAGCTGGCAGGGGTTCCACCACTGCCCATTGTGAGGGCACACTCAACTCGGGCACAGGCCTCGTCAGCTGCCTTTGTGGCCCACGTCCCCATCCAGGACATTTGTAGGGCCACAATGTAGTCTTCAGTTCACACATTCACCTCGCACTATGCAATCATCTCCCAGGCCAGGAATGATGCCAGGTTCATCAGGGCGGTACTCCATCCCGAGAACTTGTGAACTGCTACCCATCTCCAACAGATATAGCTTGGAATCACCTATTGTGGAATACACATGAACAATCACTTGAAGAAGAAAAGACAGTTACCTTTTCCGTAACTCGTGTTCTTCGAGATGTGTTGCTCATGTCTATTCCACATCCCACCCTCCTTCCCCTCTGTCGGAGTTGTCTGGCAAGAAGGAACTGAGGGTGGGGGGAGCACGCAGCTCCCCTTATACCGCGCCATGGAGGTGCCACTCCAGGAGTCGCGGGGGCACTCCCCCCATGGGTACTGTTAGGGGAAAAACTTCCGGCACCGGTGCACGTGGCGAGCGTGCACACCTATTGTGGAATAGACGTGAACAACACATCTCGAAGAACACTAGTTACAGAAAAGGCAACTGTCTTTTCTTGAAATGGCTCTCTCATGAAAAAGCTGATAGTAAATTATAACTGTGTGGGTATGTTAACAAATATGGGCTTGTGAACAAATCTGATATAACATTAATACATCTTTAAAAATAGGTGGCGTCCCCAAGCCTTCCAGCATTCAGGCTGGTGACAGACCTGATAACCAGTGGCTGCATTTCGATTGTGAAAGTTTACCAAAGACTAAACAAGCTTGGGAGTCGTGTTGTTTTGTGGAGAAAACACACTGGGGATACTATACCTGGCCTCAGTGAGTACTATTAAATTATGTGCATTGTGGGCAAAATTGTGTAAGAAAAACAGAAAGTTTGACTAATACTGTTGAAGTTAAAGGGACACTATTGGGTCAAAAATAATATTTTTAATTTTCTTAACTATAATTAAAACTGAAAATTTTAAAAATCCATTTTCCTTCTTATTTGTGCTACTTGTTTACCTTTTGCACTTCTCCTGGCTTGGACAATGAAAATAGTCTCCATTTCCATGTTTATTGCAAATCAAGTTTCCAGCCAATTGTGATGTGAGCTTTTTGTGTGCTGCAAACATCGTGGGGAATATTTTTTGTTTAACTATTTCTGTTGGAATTGCATCTGTTGGTCTTGGATTTTGCAAAAGCTTGTTTTACAATCAATCATTAAAAAAATATTGGGGGGCTAAATTTTGCCCAATGATGCCCTTTTTTAACGCTAGGTTTGAGAAGTGTTTATGATTGTCATCAAATTAAGCTTTTGTCACATGCTATGAAAGTATAGGAGAAGATTAGTGAAAAGCGTGTATATGGAATGGTTGAAATGTGAAAGGGTCAGTATGGATTCATGCTGGGAAGGAACACAATTAGTGACATATTTGCTCTGTTAATCCTCATAGAGAAGTTCAGAGAAAAGAGACAGCAACTGGGTTTGATCTTTGTGGACTCGAAGAAGGCATACATTCGTCTGATTAGAGTAAAGTTTGTGACAGAGGTGTGCCAGAAAGTTTTATGTCCATCTAAACCAGGATATGTATGATGAAGTGATTACCGTAGTCAAAACTAAATGGGGCTACCGTAGAGAATTTCCAGTAAACATTGGCCTACACTGCGCATCAGCATTGAGCCCCTTTTTATTTGCAGTTGTTATGGACTTGATGAGAATATACAAAGGGAACCGCTTTGGAACATGATGTTTGCTGATGACATAGTAATATGTACAGAAGATTGTGAAACCTGGCAAGCCAGTTTTGAACAGTGGCAGCATAGTTTTGAGCAGGCGGGGCTTAGCGTCAATGTCGGTAAGACTGAGGACATGATGAATGAGGGAAAAGGACTCAACATAGAGGATATTGCAGGCAGAGAGATTAGAAGAATAAAACAATTTAAATACCTAGGATTACTTGTTGTTGACGATAGTGCCCTCATGAGTGATGCCCAGCATTACACTGAAGTTGTATGGTGCAAATGGTGGGAGCTGACCCCCCAGTTCTCTGTCACAAAAAATGCCATTAAAGTGTATAAAACTGTATTTGACCCATCTTAATGTAGAGAAGAGAAACTTAACCAGTCACAAGAAGATAAATCAGTATGCTCTCCATCACGGAAATGAAGATGGTTGGGCACTTCAAGATAGAGATCAGAACGAGGTTGCAAGTGGCCTAATGTGTGTTGCTCCAATTGAAGACAAGTTTAGGGAGGCTATTATACATTGGTATGGGCATATCCAACAGGTACCAGAGTGTTAAAAAAGTAGGATGGCTCTTGCAGTGATTATGGATTGAAGAGATCCAAAGGGGAGACCAAAGACTCTTTACATGGGCTGGATATCAGCGGATGTCAAAGAGATCAGTCTGCACAACAGCCTGGTTTACAATCATGTGTTTTGGAAGAAGGCTATAAGTGTCACCAACCCCAAATAGTGGAGGCAAGAGAGAAGAAGGTTTCAAAAATGTTTAAGATATTAGAAATTTGCTTTAGATTTTGGTGTTCGAGTCCACAGATGTAATTTGATATCAGTATATAGAATGTCGAGAATTAGCAGAATTGTTTTTTGTTCTTTCATTTATTTTGGAAGTAATGCTAATATATATTTCCTCTAACATTTAGAAATATGGTAGTTTATGCTTCTGCTGAGCAACAACCAAAGCTTGGGAGGAGGAGAGAGGAGTTGGTAGAGGTAAGCATGCTAGGATTTCTTTTTTTTTTTTTTTGAGAGTCTGGATTGTTCTGATTCAAGACTGGCGCAGATTATTTGTGACTTTTAAGTCATTAGAGCACGGAACAATCAAGATAATGTTTGAAATAAGTTGATGGCCACATTGAATGGCTAATTACTAGGGCTGTCAATCATAGTGAATGCATACAATTAACTCAAAATAAATTAATGCATTAATCACACACCAGGGCGCTGTGCTTAGGGGGGTGCCGCTGCCTGCCTTCTCCCCCTGCCGCCCTGCTCCACTGCTGCTCCCACCTCCTCCTTCTCTCCCCCATGGAGCTGCCCCTGGCCAAGCTGCTCCAGACCGGGAGCCTGCCTTCTGCCTGCTGTGCAGAGCTGATGTCTGGGTGTCCCTGTGTACCCATTTGCTGCTGGTCTGGGGCCAGGGAACATGGGAAGCTTGGCTGCTGCTGCTGCTGGCCTTAGGGGTGGGCAGGCTGGTCCAGGGCACCAGGGGCACCTCTGGAGCAGGAGTGCTCTTCCTCCCCCCACTGCTCTGCTCTGCAGCCACCGCTGCTTCTACTCCGCACACCCAAGGTGCTCAGCACCGGTACCCTCCTCTCTGCTGTGCAGAGTGGGCTGAGGGCTAATGTTGGGGTTCCCATCTTCCTCCCCATGTACCCAGTCTCTGCTAAGCTAGGGTGGAGTGACAGGGAGCCTGTTTGCTGCTGCCTCTGGGTCAGGAGCGGGAGCCACCTGCGGCTGCTGCAGTCTGAACAAGCGTTCAGGCTGGGGAGTGCTCTGCTTAAAGAGACAGTGCGCTGAACATACTCACTTCCCCAACACACACACACTGTCTCTCACGCATATGCAGTTTGTCTCTCACACACATACACACTCCCCCAACACACACCTACTCTGGGTCTCACACTTCCCCCCAACACACACACACTTCCCCCAATCCAGAAATATTTAAGTGATATTCTATTATTGGTTTCAGAGTAACAGCCGTGTTAGTCTGTATTCGCAAAAAGAAAAGGAGTACTTGTGGCACCTTAGAGACTAACCAATTTATTTGAGCATGAGCTCATTCTATTATTGTTTAATAGTGAAATTAAAACTGCAATTAATCATGGTTTATTTTAATCTCACAATTAATTGTGATTAATATTTTTAATCATTTGACAGCCCTACTAATTACCAGTTTTGCTGATTGTAGTTGATAGTGTCAACAAGGAGGTGAGTACAGACACTAAACTTTCTACCCTAAAGGTGGCTCTTCCAGAACAGGATTGATGCATAATGGCAACATGGTGTGGGAAGGCCTGCTATTCCAGTTCTGTGAATAAACAGGATTTCTGCCTCAGACGCTATCAGTCCAGCCCTTTCACAATCATTACTTTTATCTGAAACTAACGTTTCTTAGTCTTTCGTTATCATGCTAAATAAGCCTTACAATTTGTTTTTAATTCATGTAACCAAATATATATTTTTGCAGCTGTTGCGTCATCTCTAATCTTCCTCTTTTGAGAAAGGTTAGTGAGAGTCCTAGAACTAACTTGCAGTACTATCATCTTGATCCTTCCAGTCTGCTAGTTTTGGTGGTCGATCGCCTCCTGATGTAGAGCAAAGATCAGATAGATCTGAAAGTCGATCAGTTGCTTTTGATGCCTCTGCCGCATTGTGGTGTTTGATGTACTTGCTGATGCTGGTGTGGACTGGTGGAGTTTCCTTGGAATGCAAAGGCTTGATTGAATTACTGATGACATTGTCATTTTATTTAGATTTTTAATATTCTACCATAGGTGGTGTTGGTGCCTATTTAAAAAAAAAAAAAAAAAGTAAGTGCACCTAGAATTATGTAGTGGGTTCACAGAGTAGATACATTATGAAAAAAAATATTTCTGAGACATTTTAATCCTTTCCAGTCAGGCATGGCCTGGATTTGTAGAGGCATATAAAATAGGAATATAGAATTTGACTTCCAGGTGTATGCAATGCGTGGACACAATTTTAAACATGTGAGTTAAAATTGATTTAATTTGGACTCACATGCTTAAAGGTAAGGGTATTTTCAAGTGCCTTACTGAATTGGAGCGTGTTTGAGGGGAAAGAATGAAAATGAGAAATGACAGAAAGTGTGAAACCAAAATAAATTTTAAAAAATACTATGGAAAATTGCTATACAAGGGACCCAATTTTCAGATTAGTTGGGATACATTTTGCTTAAAAATGTGACCGTGTCAGTGCTTCATAGTTTCTCTAATGAGTGGTTCGTGAAATGATGATAAAGATTTTGAAGTGATCAGGAGAGTAATCATGAGTACAGAGCTGGTGTCCATAGTAAGTGCCATTGGAAATGGCCGCTTTGAAAGCATTATATTAGTGGAAGGAAAGATGGCCCAACATCACTATAGGACTAAAAACCTCTGGGTACTAAGATGTTGACCTAATGCTTGTTTGGGGAAAATGGAGACTGTGGGCATGATTTGGATTCCTTTTTTGGCAAAAGTAGAAAAAAATAAGAATTAGGACTTGGAAATATCTTTTCCCCCCAGATGAGACTCTTGTGGTAGCTAAGCACCTTGAATTTAAACTAAGGCTTATCACTGTTTTCTTTTACAGGCAGAACAAATCATATATGATCGCTTTTCCGATCCAAAATTTGTTGAGCAGTTAATAAAGTTTCTATCTCTAGAAGACAGAAAAGGAAAAGACAAATTTAATCCTCGCAGATTTTGCCTTTTCAAGGTAACTAGATTTTTATGGATAAATTAATTTCCTTATATAGATAATTATCAAATCAGTGTGAAAAGCATTGCATTCAGTGACCCAAGCTATCGCTGTTGTTAAATGTTGAGAGAAGGTATGCCCTAAGCGCCACTATGACTAACTTCATTATACTGTCTTCTGAATTCTCCAAATATATTTTTCCCTTATAGTGGTGATATAGAGAGGGTATATACATTTGGGGATAATTCTATTTTGAACATATGAGAAACATTACCTAACTATATATTTAAACTTTAAATTTGTTTCTCAATCTCCTATGTCTCTTACGGAGAAAATATAGTTAAGACTAATAACACTATGTTAATATATATAAATTTGGTTAAATAATTAAAAACTTGTGCAACTGAAAATGATGCAACATGTATGTGTACTACCCATATTTGTATATTGTATCTCCTACAGCAGTAGGTGGATCCAATTCTGAGGTGTTTAGGACAATAAATAGGAAAAGGAACATTCCATACAGAATTAACATTACTACTTTTTCAGTGACAGTAGCAATACGAACTGCTGCTCTTATCAGCCTGGAATATTAATATTCATGCATATTAATATGCATGCAATGTTAAATGTTAAAAATACTTTAAGTGAAACATTTTTAAGTGTAATCTTGTTTAACAGGGCATATTCAGAAACTTTGATGATGCCTTCTTGCCAGTTCTAAAGCCCCACTTGGAACATCTGGTAGCAGACTCTCATGAAAGTACCCAGCGATGTGTAGCTGAAATTATAGCTGGTCTGATAAGAGGCTCTAAACACTGGACATTTGAAAAGGTGTGTATATAACATTTTAAGTGGTTTGCAAAAGTAAAGGAATCAATTCCAGCTGTTTAATCAGCATGTGCTCATCAACTGAATGGCCAGGTTGAAGGTCTTTAAGCATATTATTTAAAAACTAACTTTCACGTGCTACCTTAAAAATTCATTTCTACTCTGAAAAGTGACTCTCTTTAAATATCAGAAGGGTAGCCGTGTTAGTCTGGATCTGTAAAAGCGGCAAAGAGTCCTGTGGTACCTTATAGACCGACGTATTGGAGCATAAGCTTTCGTGGGTGAATACCCACTTTATCGGATGCATGCATGCATCTGATGAAGTGGGTATTCACCCACAAAAGCTTATACTCCAATACGTCTGTTAGACTATAAGGTGCCACAGAACTCTGTCTCTTCAAGTAGTATTGTGGAATCCCAAGTTTATTGGGTCTCAATGATTTTCAGATTTAAATGTGCTCAGTATGCAAGAAAAAACATATTTTTTGTAACTTCCAGCCCTGTAAACTCAGTCCAAGATCTGAAAGTCAAGCTGTGTTCTTTCCATATTATGAATCATCAACAGTAATGAAGATTCTTCTTCGAGGGGTGTCCCTGTGGGTGCTCCACTGTAGGTGTCGGTGTGCCGCTGTTCGGAGACGGTTACAGCAGCACCCGTATCGGCCGCGCATGTGCGGCGCCTGCCTCACATACCAGTCTTGTCTTAATAGTGCGCATGCGTGGCCGAACTCCTTAGTTCCTTCTCTACCATCCCTGGCCAGAGTTGGACCTACAGCATACTTGTTAAAACTTTTTCTCTTACCCATTCTACATCCTTTTTCCCCTTAGTTTAGCACTCTAGTTACTAGATAAATTCAACCCTTTTTAAAAAAAAAAAAAAAAATGGTGACTCTTGCAACCACAATTCCAGCACCGAAGCAGGGAGATTGGTTTTCAGCCTCCGACCTGCAGGGTGCTTATGTTCCATACATCCTGCCCACAGACATTTTATCCTCTTCGTTCTGAGCTCGCAACACTACCAATACAGGGTCCTACCTTTCGGTCTCTCAACTGCGCCTCGTGTCTTTTCCAAACCCCTCGCAGTCATAACAGTTCATCTCAGAAGCTAGGAAATCATAATTTTTACTTACCTCGACAACTGCCTTTTCAAAGCCAGGACCCTCCAAGAAGCCATTCAGTCCACACAATGGACAGTCCAATGTTTCCATACTCTTGGCCTGTGAATGAACAAAGAAAATCTACGCTCACTCCCACCCCACAACTGGAGTTCATAGGAGCACATTTCGACTCACGCAAAAGAATAGCATCTCTCCCACTCCACCTTCTCAACATCATCAACCTTTTGGTTAGCAAGGTGTACAACAGTCCACATGTGACTGCACAAGATTGCCTACAGCTCCTAGGCCACATGCACTTTTGTAGTCAGGAATGCTCGCCTCTTCATGGGATGTTTCCAAAGTTGGATGACCACTGTCTACAGACCAAATGTCCATGGTCTGAACAACCCTTTACACATACCTCCCACAGTGAAGGACTCCCTCCACTGGTGGACATTGCCCCACAACCTTTGCTCTGGGGTCCCTTTTCTACAGGACGTCCCGCCGGTTATCATAACTACGGACGCATCCCTTACGGGATAGGGAGCACACATGCCCTAATACACTGCCCAGGGGCTTTTGTCTCCTGCCAAGAAGTCCCTTCACATCAACGTCTAGAACTCTGAATGATACTCAAGGCCTGCCTCCAATTTCTCCCCTTCAGACAAAACCAACATGTCAGGATAAGGACTGACAACATTGCCTGCATGTTCTATGTAAACAGGCAGGGGGTGGGGGTGGGGCGATCCCACTCACTTTCTACAGAAGCACAATGTCTAAATATCAGCTGCATACTTACTTGGCTCTCTCAATTCCACCGCAGATGACCTCAGCTGAAGATTTCCCATAGACCATGAATGGGAACTAAACAAGGATATAGTATTAGACATATTTCATACATGGGGATACCCAACCACAGACCTTTTCACAACTGCAGCAAACAAGAAATGCCCAAGGTTTTGTTCTAGGCAAACACTCCTCGGGGGATGCATTCATGAACTAGGCAAACACTCCTCGGGGGATGCATTCATGTTCCCATGGAACACCAACCTAACGTATGCGTTTCCCCGATACCACTCGTACACAAAGTACTGATCAAAATATGAACAGACCAAGCCAGGGTCATAATGATCACCCCTACATGGCCCAGACAGGCATGGTACCCTTTTCTTGCCAAGATGGCACTTTCCGCACCCATCCCACTACCTCTCCGCCCAAATCTCTTGTCCCAAGAACACAGTCTACTACTCCACCCCAGTTTAACCATGTTACACCTCAGGGTTTGGCTCCTTCATGGCTCTCTCATGCAGAGTGAACTTGCTGGGAGAAGGTTTGAAATATACTCCCTCATAGCACAACAAATTGTACACACACCACCTACCTTCCTAACTGGACAAGATTTACATACCCGTGGGCTGCCACAGAAACCGCTCCTTTTTTCCGTGCTTCTCCCGTTAATCCTTGACTATCTGTTAGAGATTAAACTCTCTGGACTCTCCCTGAGTTCCATCAAAGTCCACTTGGCTGCAGTTACAATGTTCCATGATGCCATCGATGATAGGCCTATCTTTGCTCACCCAATTACTAAGCGATTTCTTAAGGGACCCTATACCCAGACATCAATCCGCCTAATCCACCTTGGAACTTTCTCCTAGCCTTAACATGCCTAACCCAAAAACCATTTGAACCATTAGCCACATGTTCCCTCCTACATTTCTCTATGAAAACTGCATTTCTAGTAGCAATTACCTCTGCGAGACGCACAGGAGAAATTGCAGCACTCATGGCAGACCTGCCATGCACCATATTTTTTAAGCACAAAGTCACCCTACGCTTACTCCCCAGAATTCTACCGAAAGTGCACTCATCTTTCAATGTCAATGAGCCTATCCATCTCCCTACCTTTTTCCATAAGCACATGCAAATTCCTTTGAATCTACGATGCTCACTTTAGACGTGCGCAGAGCTTTGTCCTTCTACTTGGACAGGACTAAAACCTTCAGGCATTCCAACAAGCTATTCGTCCCCATTGCAGAGCGCTCTAAGGGCTCATCTGTCTCTAACCACAGACTTTCCAACAGAATCTCGAGTTGCATTTGTCTCTGCTATCAATTACAGAATGTGACTCCCCCTACTTTTATCAGGACTCACTCCACCAAATCCCTGGCAGCCTCAGTGGCTTTTCTACGTAACGTCCCCCGTAACGACATTTCCAGAGCTGCCATTTGGGCTTCTGAAAATACATTTGCAAAACATTATGCTCTTACACAGGGACCCATCACCAATACATGTGTGGGCAGAGCTGTTCTATCTACTGCATTCCTTCCAGATTCAAAGTCCCTACCTCCTTGAGAGATACCTACTTTGGAGCACCCACAGAGACACCTCTCGAAGAAGAAGAGGAGAACACTCACCTGTGCAGTAACTGGCATTCTTCAAGATGAGTGTCCCTGTAGGTGCTCCACTCCCCACCTTCCTCCCCTCTACTTTGGAGCTGGGGCGGCCTCCATTATAGAGAAGGAACTGAGGAGTTCGGCCGCGCATGCGCAATATTAAGACAAGACTGGTATGTGTGAGGCAGGCTTTGCGCATGCGCAGCCGATACGGGTACTGCTGTAAAAATCTCTGAACAACGGCGCAGGGGCGTATCGACACCTACAGTGGAGCACCCACAGGGACACTCATCTCGAAGAACATCAGTTACTGCACAGGTGAGTAACCTCCTCTTCTGCAGACCAGATTATTACTTCATTTATACTTAGGCAACTACATAGTTTGCTGATTATACTCCATGACACCTGCACAAACCCATAGCCTTGAACTTTTCCATAAATATATACATTCATGCATAGCTTTAGACATTGCCATTGATGTGCAAAGCAGGATAAAATCTAGGTTGCCAAATCTTAGCTGTGTTGGTTCAGTAATACTAAAATAAGCACTGACTTATTTGTTTTTAAAATAAACAGAAATAACTCTGGATACACAGAGCAAATATGAATTAGAAGGTGTCAGTTTCACTTTTCAGAGTAAACAGCATTTTAAAATGTCAAAGAAAAATAATGTGCTGAATAGTGCTGGGTGATTTTTCAGTTCAGCCAGAAAGTGGAAAAGTCAGGGGAAAATATTCAGTTTGGTTCTGAAAATAATTTAGAATTTGGAAAAGTCCATTTTGGGCCTGCAAACTTCATGGGTCAGAGGGTGTTTCTTTAGAAGCTATAGCCCAGTGGTTTGGGCACAGCCTGGGATGTGGGAGATCCAGGTTTGAATCCCCACTCTGGAGCAGGGATTTGAACTCAGATTCTACAAATGTCTCAGATGAGCATCCTAACCACCAAGCTATAGGTGTGTTGCTTTTATTTTTTCTTGTTGAAGCTGTTACACTTTGTAGCTGTAGATGTGCCTGATTCAGAGGAGGGAATTAAATCCACAGCTCCTACCTCCTAGGTGAGTGCCTTAATCATCATGCTATAGAGTTGCGCTCTCTCTTCCCAGTGAATATTTAAGTGTTTCTATAAACTGGAAGAACTTCAGCGGGAGAGATTAAGAACAGTCCCATAGCATGGTGGTTAGGATGCTCAGGTGAGGTGGGGCCATTAAGGGGGCAAATCTTTGTTCCAGTCCCTGCTCCAGAATTAGGGGTTCAGGCCTGGGTCTTTCACATACCAGCCAAGTGCCTTAATCAGGACCTGTGTTACCTAAATGACACCCTGAGTGAGGCTGGGGGGTGGAGCTGGGTGAGGGATGGAGCTCGACTGGCGGTGGAGTGGAGGTGCATGTGGATCAGGGCTGGAGGAGAAGCTGGGAGTGGAGCATGGGACGGGGTTGGACCAGGGCTGGAGGCAGAGCTGGGAGTGTGGCGAGGATGTGGAGTGGAGGTGCAGGTAGAGCAAGGGATGGGGGGCAAAGCAGGGGTACAGGCGGAGCGGAGGATGGGGGTGGACCAGAGCTGGGGGAGGAGCTGGGGAGGAGGCAGGATGGAGAGAAGATGCAGGTGGCGCAGAGGTTAGGGCCAGAGTGAGGCTGGAGGTGGACCGTGGGCTGCGGCTGTGAGGATCAGGGTGGCAGGAGGCTGTTATTGTGACACTCTCTTGGCAGCCCCCCTACCGCGGCACCTTGAGCAATCGCCCATGCTAAGGTTGGCCCTGGCCCTAACCACTGGGGTAAAGGTGTCAAAGGACAGACTCTCTCTCTTTGCTGAAAAAGTTTTCCCCAGTTGAAACTGATCAGTCAAATTCACAGTTATAGGTCATCTGAAATTTCATTTTTGTGTGAATAGGCTTTTTTTCCAAAAAAAAATTCTGTAGTGCTGAATGTATTTTTAGGTTTTTAGCTACTTTTGGCGGCAAAACAAAATCACCTCAACATAAAACCTTTTGTGGCAAAGTTAAAGCAACAAAGCATCAGTGTAGACACTGCTGTTCGTTTTGTCGACAGAACTGGCTTCCCCCAATATCCCACAATGCTGGCTGTGACTGCTCTGCTCACTGTTTTGATATCTGCTGTCCAGCAGGCATGTGCCCCTTCACTTTCAAAGCTCCAGGAAGTATCTGACAGCTGAGCATGCTGCTCCGCTTGGGGAACAAAGAGCAAATAATTGGAAAGCTCCTGTTCTGCCTTGCGCTAGGAACACAGCGGCCGGTTGGCAGACTGCTGCTGCAGGGAGCAAGGCGGGGGTGGGCCGGGGAAGGAGAGGACTTCTATGCTGCTTTGATGTTTCTCAGGACGGAGAGCTCACAGAGCTGCTCAGGATGCCGCTCCCAGCATCTGAGGAAGCTGTGGGAGAACTGAGGGAATCACAGAACCATAGGCAGGCAGGCAGAACGGGCTGCTTCGGAAGAGACTGCTGTGCCGAGCAGAGCCAGGGGCTGATGTGGGGTAGGGATGTCCCCCTCCTCCTGCCTCAGGATAGGTCGGTCAGCCTGCTGTCTTCCCCTGCCCCAGACACACCACTCTCCTCTCCCTCCCCCTATACACTTCAGTTGAAAAAGCAGCTGACAATCTACTAGGATGCCCCAGGAAGGGAACGATGGGATTGAGAAACCTGCATCATGTGTTGCTGTACCTACCCCATGAGGCAATGCAGACTCTTCCCGAAGTCCCAGCCGGTTGCATAGTGGGATAGCTATCACATTGCACTGCTCTCTGTCAAAGCAAGAGCTGCTAGTGTGGATGCACTCCGCCATCACAAGGAGCTAGTGTGGACATGAAACAGTGGCTTTAATTAAAGCGGCATAACTTTTGCCGACAAAACTTTGTAATGTAGACAAGGCCTTAAATTAATGTTAACATAATTAGCTATTCATTGCTTATTACTGCATTAAAAAAAAATTAAGAATACTGTGTTGCAAACACAGAATAAAATATCTGAGACGGGATACTACAAAAGTGGCCTGTCGTTTGTTGGGATTTTTCTTTGTGCTCCAAAACAATATGTAGAATACTGTGTCTTTCTATCTTGAATCAACTGATCAATCTCTAGAAAGTGTACTAAACAAGTAAAACCTCTTGATGTACACCCAAACCCCAACACCATCTAGTAATAGAGAAAATGAGTCATTAACAGTCTTGAAGTATTGAAGAAATTAAAGAGATTGTTGAAAAGCATATTCAAGTCTCTTAATTCAGTTGTACTGAATGTTGTACTCCACAAAAAGTGTACATTCTAGATTTTGCTCCTTACATAGGTGACTACATTTCAGAGTGCTTTGGGATGCAAGGCACCATATAAATGTAAGATAATTTCATCCACAAGATAATGGAAGAAGATTTGCCTTGAAGGTTGATCTCCTGGCAAATCACATTCATGGGACTACTTGCTACAGTTTATATATGGTAGCTGGAAATGTTTGGAATTATATCTCACTACAGCAAGTCAGGAGATCTGGGTTCTATTGCTGCCTCTTGCACTGAGTGATTTCCAGGGATTAGCTGTGTGACCTTGGGCAAGTGATTTGACTTCTTCAGTTTCCTCATGGAAATAACACTTCCCTACCCTACATCAAAAGTATTATGAGGCTTAAATCACTAAAGTTTGATAAGCACTTTGAGATCTTTGAACAGAATATACGTGGAAATGCAACGTATTGCTGCTGCTGTTATATTTGCCTTCTCTGGCACCTCGTACAAACTGCTTCCCAAAACACTTTGCAGATCTGAATCTGGGGGTTTGGCTGAGTTTGCGAGGCCTTATTCTTAATTTGGTGGCATTTCTCTGTTTAGACCAGTGATGCTTAGCTAAGGCTCCTGAACCACAAGTGGCTCTTTAATGTGTCTCCTGTGGTTCTTTGCAGCACGTGATATTAAAACATTGTGTGATTTAATTATTAACCAGTCTAAGTTATTAACCAATTAGGATGCTTTTGCTATGTTGTTAACAAATTGTAGTTGATGAAATAATAATACTTGGTGAGTCATTTTGCTGTGAGAATAATATATATATATAAAAACTAAATATTTCCCCTGGCATACTGCTTAAATATGAATATATAGTACTATAGTAAATGAAACAGTGTCTTCACACTACTGTGACTCTTCTGGGAGGGGAAGGAAATTCTGCGTGCACAACATTAATTTCTGCAAAATTTTGTGTTGCGCAGTGGTGCAGAATTCGCCCAGGAGTAAATAATTGTCTACTGATCAAAGAACTGGTTGATGACAGCCAATAACACCTTTCAGTGTAACAAAACCCCCATCTCAGCTCTGCCCATCTTCCCAATACAGTTTTTAAATGGAGACATCCTGAAAGAGAAAAGATGGAAGGGAGAGAAAATAATAAGAATGGTGCGGAGAATGGAGTGAATGGGGATGACAGAGCCCCTGGCACAGGCGGGAAGGCGGGATTGGGGAACACATTGAACTTTTGGCATTGGAGGACATGGGGTGAGAATTGGGGGCACACAGAGACCCAGCATGGAGGAAGGGGTGGCTGGTTGCAGAAGTAGAAGGGGATAGGAGGGTGGCACACAGGGAACGTGGGGAGAGACTAGATGAATGCAAGGAGTCCCTGGTGTGTGCAAAGCACTCAGCCTACAGAAGCAACAAAATCTGCAATCCTGTAGTAGTATTGTACTTAAACTGAAAAAACCCAAGAGGCTGCATATCTATGAACTTGACTGAGCAGTACTTCAGAGCACCCTGTAAATAAAACAGAAAAAGATGTTGGCAGTTTGAATTGTTGCCTTTCCTGGTAATTTTTTTTCAGGATTCTAATAATTTTGAGCTACTGTACGAAGCAAATTTCTCTTTGAGGGGTTGGGAGTTAGAGAAGTTAAGTAGGAGCCATACATGGCAAAATCCATAATCTCACCTTTGCTTTTCTGTTGAGTAGGTAGAGAAACTTTGGAAGCTTTTGTGCCCACTACTTCGAACAGCTTTATCCAATATTACCGTGGAAACTTATAATGATTGGGGAACATGTATAGCAACTTCCTGTGTAAGTTCTCAATATTGCTTAGCTTTGCTCGTTATTCATGTTAAAATAAATTAAACACACACATTTTTGGTAATATGTAAATAACAATTTTATGAAGAAAAATATTTAGATTTATTCTGTTAGGATTAAATTCAGAGTAGTAAATCCAACCTAAAAATTGCATTGTATACTAATTCTTGAAGTCCTACAGAAAACAGTAAAATACATTTTCTCATTCACAATTGTGGATGCTTTTTCTTCTGGAAGTATAGTTCACACTTTCGTCTGCTTTCTAGTTTTGTGATAGCTATGTAAGAGGTAGCTATTGATGACATTAATGTCTGCACTTACTGTAAAATCTTTTACCACTAGTGCTGAATTTTTCCTTACTCTTCTTTTGAAGCTCAGACCACAGAACTGTCCTCAGTTTATAAAATAAAAAGTGCAATTTAATCATGCACGTATTGAAAAGGATCTGGAAAATATATAGATACAGATTAACGTAACTAGGGTGGCCTGTTGACCTTTAAGGGCTTGTCTACGCTTGAAATGCTACAGCAACATAGCTGCACCACTTCAGTGTAGAACAGTGGTTCTCTGTACCCCTGGGGGTATGCAGAGATCTTCCAGGGGGTACATCAACTCGTCTAGATATTTGCCTAATTTTACAACAAGCTACATAAAATGCACTAGCAAAGTCAGAACAAACTAAAATTTCATACAGAGAATGACTTGTTTTATACTGCTCTATATACTATATGCTGAAATGTAAGCACAATATTTATATTCCAATTGATTTATTTTATAATAATATGGTAAAAATGAGAAAGTAAGCAATTTTTCAGTAATAGTGTGCTGTGAACACTTTTTTGTATTTTTATGTCTGATTTTGTAAGCAAGTAGTTTTTAAGTGAGGTGAAACTTCGGGGTACGCAAGACAAATCAGACTCCTGAAACAGGTACAGTAGTCTGGAAAGGCTGAGAACCACTGGTGTAGAGGCTCCCCATAATAACGGGAGGGGTTCTTCCGACGGTGTAGTAAGCCACCTCCCCAAGAGGCAGTAGCTAGGTCAACAGAAAAATTCTTCCATTGACCTAGTACTGTCTGCACGGGGGGGCTAGGTCTGCTTAACGCCGCTGCTCAGAGGTGTGGATTTTTCACACCCCTGAGCAACGTAGTTAAGCAAACTTAATTCTTCTTCAAGTGCTTGCTCATTCCATTCTAGCTATGTGCATGCCCACGTGCACAATCATTGGAGATTTTTGGCTTAGCGGTATCTGTAGAGTCGGATGTAGCTCCCTCTTGAGTGCCATGCTCATGCGTTGGTATATTAATCACTGCCAACCCTACGCCCTCTCAGTTCCTTCATACCGCCCGTGACGGTTGGTCTGAGCACCTTGTCTTACATCCCAAGAGTGTTAGTGGTTCTTACAGTCCATTGTTCTGTCTCCTTTGTTGTTAGTCGATAGGTATTTAGACCTTTAAGGTAAGTGTTAGAGTAGTTGTTTAGGAGTTAGAGTCCCGGCTGCGACTTCGCGTCGAAGCGGGGCATGCCCCATTCCCCAGGCTTTAAGCCATGTTCATCGTGCAGCCAGCCGATGCCCATTAGTGACCCCCACAAGAGCTGTTTAAAGTGTTTGGGGGAGTCCCACAGAAAGGATAAGTGCAGGATCTTCAAAAACTTTCGTCCTCGAACTCAGAAGGAGCGAGATATCCACTTGAGGGTCCTTCTCATGGAGGCTTCGCTTCATCCTACCTCGGAGCCCTCTCGATTGGACTCCATGCCTGGCACCACAGCATTGGCGTGCAGTGCACCACAGCACCAGAACCCACTCAGCACCGTTCCCCCTCCGCAGTGCCTAAGAAGTGGTTGAAGTCGATGGGCCCGCTAGCACCACAGAAAAAGGGGGCTTTGGGCAAAGGACCTGTGTTAGGCCACATGCCCACCCTGGAGCTGCTTGGGGTCGGACCCCCTAGTTCAGCCAGGGACCCGCCTCTGCCAGGAGTTTGAGGGACGTGATCGTTCCCCTCTATTTGACATTGGTAAGGCCTCATCTGGAGTACTGTGTCCAGTTTTGGGCCCCACACTACAAGAAGGATGTACAAAAATTGGAAAGTGTCCAGCGGAGGGCAACAGAAATGATTAGGGGGCTGGAACAAATGACTTATGAGGAGAGGCTGAGGGAACTGGGATTGTTTAGTCTGCTGAAGAGAATGATAGCTGCTTTCAACTACCTGAAAAGGGATTCCAAAGAGGATGGATCTAGACTGTTCTCAGTGGTAGCAGATGACAGAACAAGGAGTAATGGTCTCAAGTTGCAGTGGGGGAGGTTTAGGTTGGATATTAGGAAAAACTTTTTCACTCGGAGGGTGGTGAAGCACTGGCATGCGTTACCTAAGGAGGTGGTGGAATCTCCTTCCTTTGAGGTTTTTAAGGTCAGGCTTGACAAAGCCCTGGCTGGGATGATTTAATTGGGGATGGGTCCTGCTTTGAGCAGGGGGTTAGACAAGATGACCTCCTGAGGTCCCTTCCAACCCTGATATTCTACGATTCTATGATTCTGACTCCTGGGAGCAGTAAGAGGTCCCGGCCCCTAGTAGAGACATCTTTGCCCGAAGTGGACCTGGCGGCCAAAGAGCAAGTGGGCCAACTGGCACCGCAGATGCCAACTAAGATGATGGACCTGGCCAAGGCCCCGGCATCTGTGGGCAAGCCGGTTATGGGACTGCTCCCTAAAGCAGCGGAGCATCCCCAATCCCCGGACTATAGGTGTCTGTCCCCATCACTGTGGCCCTAGCACCGCAGCCTCAGTCCCCAGTTAGAAGACACAGGTCCCTGATGCCAAGGTCTCCACCTGCAAGGCACAGGACACCTGAGTCGCGACACTGATCTCAGTACCCCTGGTACTGTCAGGTCTCCCACCAGAGTTTGCCACGGTGCAGATCACCATTGCTTAGGCGATCTCCCAGGTGGTGATTCCCCCAGTGTGGGATCGTTCCTGGTCACGGAACCAGTCTCCAGCTTCCCAGTACTGCTCTTCGAGCAGGCACCAGTCCTTGCCTTCTCCTTACAGTCACCAACAAGGGTCAGTCAGCAGACTCGGGCATCTACAGCTCTGCCCTAGTCACCAGAAGGGCAATGGTCTGAGCCTGAAGGGGTGTTCAGCCCCTTGCCTATAAAAGGCGAATTGCCACCGGCCCACGAGACTGGCATGGCTCCTGTGGCGTGGAGATGGGGCAAGGCCCCTCTCAGTGGTAGTACTGGAACTTTTGAGGTGTACCTGTTATGCCAGTCCCGTACTCCCACTGTTACTCCCAGGCCTAATCGGACAAGCTGCACCTGGCACAGCCAGCACCCAAGTCAGAGCACGGTGCCAAATCTAACACGAGGGCGACATAGTAGGTACTGACACCCAAGGAGCCATCCCCAGACGAGCAAGGGGAAGCTGCACCTCCCCCTGCTATGCAGTCATCTTCATTGTCTCTGGACGAAAGAACGGCGGGCTCCTCACAAATGAGCAGTCCCCCCGACAACTTCAAGGGGCACCAGGCCCTGCTCAAAATAGTGGCTGCCAACCTGAACTTGGAGGTCAAGGAGCTAGCAGAGGAGTCTGACGACCTCTTTAATGTTATACTCTCCTCTACCCTGTCCCAGGTCACATTGCCCGTCCACCCAGGGGTCCTTAAAATTGCCAAGTGTATGTGGCAGACCCCCTCTTCCATTCCACCTACCTCCAAGAAGGTGGAAGAGAAGTATTATGTCCCCACAAAGGGGGTTGAGTACCTGTCACCCACTCTCCAGGGGGATCCCTGGTCGTGTCTGCTGACAACAAAAGGGACAGATGAATGGCACACTGGAAAGTAAAGACACCAAGAGGCTGAACTTGTTTGGTAAGAAAATTTATTCGACAGCCAGCCTGCAATATTAGGTATCTAACCATCAGGCCCTGCTAGGCAGGTACAACTTCAACCTGTGGGATTCCATCAGCAAGTTTAAGGAGGGCTTCCCACATGACCGAGCCCAGGAGTTCTCTGCCTTGGTGGACGAGGGCAAAGCAGTGGCGAGAGGCACCCTCCAGATGGCCTGGGACGCTACAGACTCGGCGGCCAGGTAGTCACTTCTGCAGTGGTCATGAGGCTCAGCTGGTGGTTACAGTCCTCTGGGCTGTCCCAGGAGTTGCAGAGTACCCTTCAGGACCTTCCATTTGAGGGAGCTGCGTGACGAACAGCTCCACGGCCTTAGACTCACATGCCACCCACCGTTTCTTGGGCCTTCAGACCCCTTAGAAGGCTAGAAAGCCTTTCCATCCCCCTCCACCTCCGTCGAGGTTCTGTGGTGTCCCCCAGTCCAGCTCCTCCAGGAAGGACAGGGACAAAGGATTTCAATGGTGTCACCCATCGTCGTCCCATTCCTCCCCCCAGCCTAGTTCTTCTAGAGGCCAAGGAAGCCAGAAGCAGGTGTTTTGAGGATGCACCCAAGGATGGCACCCCAGTCACTCCCCAGAATCCACCTCCTGGCTCTTTTCTCAACCTCCTGCACCCCCTCTGGTCAGGCTGGTCACGGCTCACCTCAGACCACTGGGTGCTTGACATAATATCTTTAGGCTTAACCCCTTCAAGCCTCTGGCTTTCTGCTCTCTCCTTCTCTGTCCTGGAAGGTTACATTCCTAGTTGCGATAACGTCCGCCCACCGGTTCTCCGAGATTAGGGCGCTTACCTCGGAACCACCCTATACGGTCTTCTACAAAGACAAGGTCCAGCTGCAGCCACACCCAGCTTTCCTGCCCAAGGTGGTCTCTCAGTTGCATACGGGCCAGGACTTTTACTTACCTGTCTTTTTTTCCAAAGTCGCATAAGTCAGAGGAGGAGCATAGATTCATTCCTGAGATGTCAGGAGGGTGTTAGCCTTCTGCACTGAAAGGACCAAGCCATTCCGCAAGTCAACCCAGTTGTTCATCGTGGTGGCTTACAGGATGAAAGGTCATCCAGTGTCCACTCAAAGAATTTCTGCTTGTATCACTGTCTGCATTCACTGCTGTTCTGATCAGGTAGGGGTGCCACCATAACTGCCCATTCAACCAGGGCACAAGCCTCCTCGGCAACTTTCCTAGCCCAAGTGCCTATCCAGAACAGCTGTAGGGCGGCCAGCTGATAGTCTGTCCACACGTTCATGTCCCGTATGCACTTACCCAGCAGGCCTGGAGTGATGCTGGCTTTGGTTGAGCAGTACTAGACTGTGAACTCCAAGCCGACCTCCGAGGATACTGCTTGTGAGTCACCTAGAATGGAAGTGACATGAGCAAGCACTTGAAAAATAAAAAACTGTTACCTACCTTTTCGTTCTTCAAGATGTATTGCTCATGTCCATTTCATTATCCACCCTCCTACCTGAGTTGCCAGCAAGAAGGAACTGAGAGGGCTTAGGGTCAGCACTAATATACCAACGCATGAGTGCAGCACTGAAGAGGGCGATACAGCTGATCCTACGGATACTGCTAAGGCAAAAATCACCAATGACTGTGCGTGTGATGAGCACGCACATACCTAGAATGGAAAGGACATGAGCAACACATCTCGAAGAACAACAGCTACAAAAATTTAGGTAACCATTTTTTTTTTCTAGTGTAGACCAGGCCTTGTATCCAGTAAGATTTCTCTGCACTAAATGTTAATAGTTTTTCATAACTAGATTACATCCTTTAAAATGCCATAGAAATAAAAATAACACTGTTTTTAAATCACTGTACTTTACTAAGTAATTGGTAATAAATCTCTTGCGCCACTATCCATGATTAGAATGCCGCATTTCTGCATGATCCTGATTTTTTTTTTTACTGGACCCTAATTTTGAGAAAAGTAAAACACTGTCTTCATTTATGTAATAATGCATACATAGGAACCTCAAGAACATTTAATGCAAATATTTAATTGTCTTTCTTTTTACATGGCTTAAAGTAGAATCACCAAATTCCTCTGTTTTCCAGTTACTGATTTATAACTTTCTTTATCAGGAGAGCAGAGATCCTCGGAAACTGCACTGGTTATTTGAGCTGTTGTTGGAGTCTCCTTTGAGTGGTGAAGGAGGATCATTTGTAGATGCATGGTAAAATGTTACCTTCAAACTGCTTTACAGTTGATGGGTAAAGCATGAACAAATGTAAGAGATGTGAATAAAGTTCACTCAGAGTATATTGTGACTGGCCACTGCAAGGTGGAAGAGCCAAGAGTCTAATCGTGTACCTGCACATCCCACACAAGAACCTCTCAGTTGTAGTTCCTTGTTCATGCCCTTCCTCCTCCTATCCTTAGTTCCCCAGGGGTAGAGTAGGGCCCAGAGGGGAAAAACATTGCTTAAAGCACATTACTATGATTAATTGGATTCAGTTAGGACAGTGGTTCTCAAAGTATGGGGCGTACCTCCTGAATGTGTCAAGGGAGGTGCTAGCTTTGTGCTCTTTTGAGCTCTGGCTGTCAGCCCCTGGTGGCTGGGACTCATGCAGAAGGGCCGCACACACCCAGGAGGCGGGGATAAAGAGGTCAGCCCCAGAGGGGCAGTAGCAGCACAGAAGGGTGGCAGTGGGACACTTAGTCTGCTATAAACAGTGATACTGACAAATGTCACTTTTCACATTTCCTCCCTTACTTCTGCACTGCTGCACCCTTCTCAATCTGCTGTGAAAAGTGATGTGTGTCAGTATCACTTTTCACATTGCTGTCCTTACTTCTGTGCTGCTGTTGGCGTGAAGCTGCCTTCAGAGCTGGGCATCTGACCAGCAGCTGCTGCTCTCCACTCTGCCTTCAGAGTTGGGTAGCAGTATATGTAGTGGGGGTGGGGAGGGGTGAAAATGACTACAGACACAAAGAAGGGGGGGCCCTATTAAGTAAGTTTGAGAACCATAACTATTGTGGAACTGTGGTACTGACATAACAGCAATACTGTAATAGTTACTCTCATTTTGTGATTGAAAAGCTTTTATACTCTTGTGTATCTGTAGTTCATGGATATATGTAAATCATTAAAAACAAGACTTGGAAAAAATAAGTTGCAGTTGTCAATACAGTAAAGCTAACTAAAGCCTTCATGTTCCAATTTCTAGCCGACTCTACGTATTGCAAGGTGGCCTTGCACAGCAAGAATGGAGAGTACCAGAGCTGTTGCACAGGTTACTAAAGTACTTGGAACCTAAACTCACCCAGGTTTACAAAAATGTCAGAGAAAGAATAGGAAGGTTAGTGTTCTCTTCTGAAGAATTTTCTTTGTTCTGTTCATGTCCATTGAATACTCAAGTATTATTTATTTTCTTTGGATGATTGTCTTCCTAGGTATGTGAACATATACATGTACCAGAATAGAAATAAATAATATTTTCCAAAAAATAATGTACCTATAAATTGCTATTTAACAGGCACTTTTTGTAAACATAGGGTGATGTCTTGATTCTCGTCCTGTTGTTTCATGTGACCTCTCATTTTCACACTGGGAGAGCTCTAAAGCTCTAGAAACAAATGAACTGTACCCAACCCCTGCCAGACCAAGGTGAAATTTTCAAAACCACCTAAGCTCCTAAGTGCCATTGAAAGTCTATCAAATTGTAACAAGTTAGAACCTATAACTAATGAATAATTAGGGTCTCAGATGTGCTGGAGTGGGTTTTTCTAGAAATATTTATAGTCAGAGAATAATCTGGAATCATAGCGATATAGGGCTGGAAGGTACCTTCAGAGGTCATCTAGTCCAGCCCTACATGGTGAAACAGGACCAAATACACAGTCCTAGACTATACATGACAGGTTTTTGACTAACCTGTCCTTAGAAACCTCCAATCACAGGGATTCTACATCCTCCCTTGGAAGCTTATTCCAGTGCTTAACTATCCTTATGATTAAAAAGTTTTTCCTAATATCTACTTAAATCTCCTGTGCTGCAGATTATGGTGATTATTTCTTGTCCTACCTTCAACGGCCATGGAGAACAATTGATCACCATCCTTTTTAGAAAAGCCCTTAATATATTTGAAGATTATCAGGTTTCCCCTCAGTCTTTGTTTCTCAAGACTAAACATGCCCAGTTTCTTTTAACCATTTATTATGGTATGATTCATTTTGTGTGTCTACAGTTTGCAACCTTCAGGAAAGAGTTATAAGTAAACAGCATATCTTTTCATGTACTGTATGCAAAATAGCATGTTTGTCAGAAATAAGAAAAATAATTCTCCTACAGGATATCAAGTTACCTACACGCCAAATAAGATTCCGAATGCAATAGATAGACGTTGTCAAAGATGAAAAATGTGAACTCATTAAAAATAGCATATAGCATTTTCCCCCCTTTGAGTCTTTCACTTTCTCATTAGGTGAAAACAGTTCTTAAGCCCTCAATTAATAGTTTTCCTCATGTTCTCACTGAGGTTTAGATGTGTGTATATATAGTGAAGCAGCTCAGTGAACTGAGGTTATTTGTCTTGGTGCATTGTACTCTTATGGTATAATGCCTTAAATTGAGGTAAAGATCTGAATCACAATGATGTTGCATTCTGTTTCAGATAGCATTTGGTTTTATTTATTTTATGTGGTCTACAGGAAGAAATTTTAAATTTCAAAAAAGTATTAAATTTCAACTAGTAAAATGCAGCAAATAGCCCCTGAACACATTTAACTGGTTTCTTCATGTTAATGTATAAACTTGCGTTATTTATTTTTAGTGTTTTGACCTACATATTCATGATAGATGTTTCCTTGCCAAATACTGCTCCAACAAAGTCCCCTCATGTCCATGAGTTCACTACGCGAATACTTGAAAAGCTCAAACCTCTTATGGAAGTGGATGAAGAAATTCAGAACCATGTTATGGAAGAGAATGGAGTTGGTGAACAAGATGAGCGAACTCAGGGCATTAAACTCTTGAAAACCAGTGAGTTGCTGAATTTAACTTGTGAAAACAGACAATGTGTTTGGCTGCACAGAATTATGATTGAGTACTGCAAGTGGCATACTTACAATGTGCAATTTTGCCTGTTACATTAGCTTTATACTAAAGAGGTGTCTGTACCTCTTGTAGGTTGGACTGTGTTAATGTATAACTTATTCCAAATTACATGACTATGGCTTGAATAATAATTATTCTAATGAAAACTCATGGGCTCTCACATAAGAACACAGGGCCAAACTTACTGTTGATGCAACTCCATTAACATTAGTAGAAATCTGGTGAGATATGCCAGTAGTGAATTTGGCCTATACATTTGTCATTTTGCTTGTTGATCTTGTTATTCAGTAAGTATTTCTGTCTTTTTATAAACAGTCCTGAAGTGGTTGATGGCAAGTGCAGGTCGGTCCTTCTCCACGGCTGTCACAGAACAACTCCAACTTTTACCCTTGTTTTTCAAGGTACCCATTTTAATTACTGAGCTTTTAGTCACATTTGGTTTAAAAACAAGTTATAAAAAGCAATGTTATGATTGATTTTAAAAAATGTTTTTTTTAAATAGAAAAGTGTGCATATATATGGCTAGCCAAATTCTGCCCCAACATCCTCCTTTGCTTATGTGTGAAATAGATAGTGTACTTATAGAAGCTGGAACAATTGGTCTAGCCTTTTTCCAATACGCCCTCCCATTCTTGCACATAGAAATATATGATTGATCTTATGGAGGAATCCTGAGCTGTTTCAAAATGATGAAAGGGTGCAGAGAGATCCAGATATTTTTCAGGTGTATGCTCTTACAATGAACAGGCAGAACTTGGCCAGAGTTTCTGAATGCGGAGACTTAATGGTCACACTTGGTAAAGGAAGTAGAGTAGTGTCCAGCAGACCACTATTCGGTTTCATACTTCAGAAACTCTTTATGCAGTGCTGTTTAGCTGCAGTGTTCTAGAAGATTACAGAGTGTAGTCAAACTGTTTTCTTCTGCAGTTACTCCAACACCATAGTGTTAGCAGGTGTGAGACCCTTACATTTTCAAAGATGGAGTTACTCTGTAGGTCTTGGTAGGCTCCTGTAGTCCTTCTACCATTCATAAGTTGAGACAGCTCATTTCACCACTACTGCATAGAATGGGACAGCTTGCTTTTCACAGCAGTTGGCCTTTTGGCCTAAAATATGACTGATATAAGGAACCTATTATTCTTAGCAGGCTTTCTCTAGATTATACTGTCCACCCTAACCCAAGTCACTGTGAATAGACACGAGTACCTTCAGACTTGGAATATCACCATCTTCACTTTTTTTTCTCTCCAGTGGTGGAAACAGCCCCTATAGTTATATTAAGATCAAATTCAATTAATAGACAGCAACAAAGCAGGCTTTTTCACAACTGTTAAGGCCATGAAAAAGAACAGCAAATTTCATTCAATTTAGAATTCACAAGGGATTCATCATTAATTCCCGCATACTGAATGTAAATTAGACAAAGTCTTTTTAAAAAATCTTGTCAAATTTACATTATGATGAAAGACTACTGTTGTTCTATGGCAATAGAAAAAAATCAAAACTTTGCTTAGGCAAACTTCGTTACTTTAATCCTTGGTTACCAATTTTGTCAGTTTATACCTTTTTTAAAACAACATACTTTCCCTCACTTTTCATTTAATCAACTGGGAGTTCAGGATCCGTTGTGTTCTATATCGGCCCATCATAAGAACTTAGCAAGGCAGAATAGCATCCATTTCAGTTTGAAGTACAGGTTACCTTTGTGGGAAGAGTCATTCTTACTTTAATAAAATGTCAGATTTTAGTTATCTAAAAATAACGTATGTCCCCAAAACACACAAAAGGGTTACTGATACAAAAATATATTGCTAATATTTCCAGTTTAACTTTTCTTCTAACTCAGTGGTAGACCTGGAATTCTTCTTTGAGTAATGTCCTATGGGTTCTCCACTGTAGTTGTGTCTACGTCCCTAGACTGCTGATCGGAGAACTTTGGTAGCTGTGTCCATTGGGCCAGCACATGTGCTGTCCCACCTTGTACTGCACCACGAGGCTAGCCAGCGTTCAGGGACTAAGGGCTTGTCTACGCTACGAAGTTTTGTTTACAAAACTTATGTCAAAAAGAAAAGGAGTACTTTTGGCACCTTAGAGACTAACCAATTTATTTGAGCATAAGCTTTCGTGAGCTACAGCTCACTTCATCAGATGCATCTGATGAAGTGAGGTGTAGCTCACGAAAGCTTATGCTCAGATAAATTGGTTAGTCTCTAAGGTACCACACTTACTCCTTTTCTTTTTGCGAATACAGACTAACACGGCTGCTACTCTGAAACCTTTCAAAACTTATGTCGACACCCAAAAGTCGACAAAACAAAAATCACCAAAGGGTGTTCACACTTGCTCCTTTTGTCGATAGATCATGCCCACATTGGGGACACCAATCATCAACAGGGTGAGCAATTCACCATGGGTATATATCCCACAGTGCAGTGTTGTGGGAAGGAAGAGCTGATCGCTGCGCATCTTGGGATTCTCTGTGAGTTCTCCCACAGCCCCCTCAGCTGCCAAGAGCAGCATCATGAGCAGCTCTGTGAGCTCTCCATGTTGAGGAATCCCCACCCCCTGCAGCAGCAGTCTGCCTGCTGCTGTGTTCCTAGTGCAGGACAGAACAGGAGCATTCCAATTATTTTCTCTTTGTTTGTTCCCCAAACGGAGCAGCACACAGATACTTCCTGGAGCTTTGAAGGGGGAGGGGCGCATGCCTGCAGGGCAGCAGAGATCAAAACACTGAGCAGAGCAATCAGGGGAGGCATTTTGGGATACTGGGCGTTTTTCGCGACAAAAGTCCCATTGTAGTGTGTACGCTCTTGCTGTTTTGTCTCCAAAAGGCAGTTTTTGGCAACAAAACTTGCCAGTGTAGACAAGCCCTAACAGTCCTGCTTTCCTTCTCAACTGCCCCAGCTCGAGATGGAGCTTTAGCTGTCCATTGTGGATTGTTTATTCTTTTACAATTGCTAATTTTTAGCTTCCTTAGAAGCCTCTTTTGTTTCTTTTCCTCCTTCTACTGTTTATTTGGCCATTGCCTAAAAGAAGAAGAATGGACTTTGTTCTTCTGTCAACCCACAGTGGGGGAGACCCCCCTGGACAAAGCTCTCTGGGCTTAAAGAAGTGCTGCACTTACAGTGAGGCGGTCCCGGTTGTGGACAAGCACTCCCAGTGCATCTGTTGCCTTGGCGAGGGCCATATCCAACAAAAGCATTCCCTCTGCCAGTAGCCCAGCTCTTTGCTGAGAAGACTTGACACCTCCCTCCACACCTTGAAGGATTCCAGGGCCACCCTCCGGTTGCTGGGAATCTACACATGGGGACAAAAGAGATCTTTTAGCCCCCAATCCCAACACATAGATTATTCATCTCAGTTCCCATCACAGCGCCATTATGAGCCACAAAGAAAAAAGGGAAAATTCCCAAAACATAAGGCATCTGGTCCACAATCTTCAACCCAGCCCCTGCCTCTTAGCACCACTTTTTTGAGGGGCAGGTCGAGGCACCATAAGACCACTCCCTACTACTGTCTATGACCGTGCACCCACTTGGCCACCATTTGGCAGGGTTCCACAGTGCCTGGGAATGCATAATGTCGAACAGATGGGTCCTAGAAATCATCTGATCCAGGTACTCCATCCACTTCACCTCTCTACCCCCTCCACAACACTCTTCCCTGTCACTCTTCAGGGACCCTTCTTATGAGAGTCTGCTGCAACTGGAGATAGATTGACTCCTCCAGTTAGGAACTAGAGAACCAGTTCCTCAACATCTACAAGGCAAGGGGTTCTATTCTTTTTACTTCCTAATACCCAAAAGGGAGGGAGTTTGGAGACCCATACTGGATCTCAGAGCTTGCAACAAGTTTGTCAAAGCTCAGACATTCAAGACGGTCACCTTATCGATGATCATTCCACCTCTGGAACAGGGAGACTGGTTTTCAGGTATTGACCTACAGGGCGTCTACTTTCATATTTCAGTACTACCAGCTCACAGACAATTTTTCAGATTCACTCTGGGACACACCATTACTAATACAGAGTCCTCCCCTTCAGACTCTCATTGGTCCCTATTTTCCGAAGTTCTCTCAGTGGTAGCTGCTCATGTACATTCACAAAGGATAATGATCTATCCTTACCTGGGCGATTGTTTCCTCAGAGCCCGATCGCTCTAGGAGGCTCATTGAGCCATCAACACCACTATACATTTGTTCACAGAACTGGGCTTTCAGATCAACACCCAGAAGTTGACCCTCACGCCAATGCAACACCTGGAATTCATGGCAGTCGGCTTGGATGCTCTGCAGGCCAAACCTTCCTACTTCAACACAGGTTCCTATCCCTGGTCTCACTCATAGACACGGATCAATGCAGTCCTCAAGTACCAACCAGACTCTGCCTCCAACTGTTGGGGCATATGGCAGTGGGCACAGCTGTGATACTGCACACCAAACTCCACATGCAATGCCTCCAACTATGGTTCAGTTCAGTTTACAGGCCGAACAAAGACAGTGTGGACAAACCCCTGTCACTACCTACCATGATCAAAAGCTTCTTGGACTGGTGAAAGAACCTAGCCAATGTATGCAAAGGGATTCCCTTCTCACAGAGGACGCCATCATCACTGCTTACCACCGATACATCACTCAGCAAATGGTTACCTCTGGAGATATCTCTACACATCAATCTCCTCGACCTGAGAGCGGTCAGGAATGCCTGCACCCATTTCTTCCCGCTGATAGCAGGATCACATACAAATATCCTACCAGACAACATAGCCTGCAGATACTACATTTGCCAGGGAGGGGCCAGGTCGCCCTCCTTATGCACAGAAGCAATGAAATTATGGAACTGGTGCATCTCTCACAACATCACCTTGTCCACGGCTTCCTTCCTGGGCATGCAGACCTCAATAGCAGCTGACCCCAGTTGCTAATTCACGCATGATCACAAGTGGGAGATGCACCTGTCAGTACTCCATGACTTTTTCACATGATGGGGAACACAATCCACAGACCTGTTTGCTGCATACCAGAACAAGAAGTGGCCATGCTGCTGCTCAAGACAACACTCTCTGAGTGATGTTCTTCTCCCCTGGGACAAGGACCTTCTTTACACCTTTCTTCTGTTTCCTCTACTGCCGAAGGGACTAAGCTCACGGTCCTGATTGCTCCTACTTGGCCAAGATAGACCTGGTACCTTACCTGACACAGCTCTCAATGTGCCTTCCAGTTTCCCTTCCAACCATTCCACATCTCCTTTCGTAAGATAAAGCGTGTACCCTACATCCCTACTTTGGGATTCTCTGCCTCAAAGCATGGCTCCTGCATGGTTCCAGCATCTAGAAAGTTGATGCTCAAAGGAAGTACAAGAGGTTCTAATACACAGTAGAAAGTCCTCCACATGACGTACTTACCTGCAGAAATAGTCCAGGTTTCAGATTTGGTGTACATCGTAACAAATCTCACCAATGTCAGCAACTCTCCCACATATTCTGGAATATTCTCTGACCCTTAAAGTCAGTATTGTCTCTAAACTCTATTAGGGTCCATCTTGCAGCTGTCACAGCTTTTCAACAACCCATAGAGGGGTACTCGGTACTATCACACCCAACCACTAAAAGGTTCCTTAAGGGTATAATGAATTTCTTCCATCAATCTTGACTCCTACCCCCTCGTGGGACCTAAACCTGGTACTGAAAGGCCTGACTAGGCCCCCCCCCTTTGAACCCATGGCCACCTGTTCGCTGATGTACCTATCAATGAAAACAGCCTTCCTGATAGCAATTACCTCAGTTAGAAGAATAGGGGAGATAGCAGCTTTGATGGCACATCCCCCCCTAAACAGTATTCTTTCCAGGCAAGATTACACTCAGGCCTCATCCAAAATTCATCCCTAAGGTAACTTCCCCTTTTCACATGAATCAGTAAGTCCGCCTTATAATCTTCTATCGCAAGCCTCACCAAGACAATAGGGAGGCTATACTACATACCTTAGATGTTAGGAGAGCTCTAGCATTCTACAAAGGCCTTCAGGAAGTCCCCATGACTTTTCCTCATTGTGGTGGAACGATCCAACAGCTCAGCAGTATCAGCCCAAAGACTCTGTAAGCGGGTCTTGAATTACATCAGACAGTGCTACCAAATTTGTAATGTGACACACACACCCCAACTCGATCCAGACATGTTCCTCAAGATCGATTTCCTCATCTGTCGCTTTTTTCAAGGATGTCCCTGTCTCAGAAACCTGCAGAGCAGAGACATGGACGTCAGGCCACACTTTTACAGAACACTATGCAATCACTTGGGACTCTGCCTCTGATGCCATCTTCGGTTCCACAGTACTGTCATCTCTAACTGATGCCACTCCGAAGTCCCAGGCCTCCAAAAGGGGTACTGCTCAGGAGTCACCTGCAGTGTGTTATGCATATAAGCAGCACACGGGATCTTTTTCAGGGGAAAAACCTTCATCAACTCAGATTTCACCATTCCAAGTATTGTTCCAGGGATTTGAATTCCCCATGCCTGTACTTACTTTTTTATATATACTTCTGCCACTATGCCCTCAGGGCTTCCAACCTGTTTTCCAATTTTTTTATTTGTTGCCTGCCTGCTTGTCTGGGCCCGATTCTGCTTTCCTCGTTGAACTGTCCCTTTTTATGGACACAGGCTTTGTTCCACTACCAATTTAGCAAGGAGGGTGGGCTCCTCAACAAGCCCCCACCCTTCCTGGTCCCTTTCCTAAAACATTCTCCACCAAAAATGTTGTGCTTATAAGAAGCACACGGGATCTTTTTCAGGAGAAAAGGCAATACGCCGCGTTTATTGAAGATACAACAATTAGCATATGCATTCAGTCACACCACACACACAAACACACACTGTCCTGCCAGTCGATGTTATAGTTACCAGTCCAAAGTCCAGATCAACCTAATGACCAGCTGGGTTGATCACCAGTAGGGAGGAGCCAGGCTTCATCGGTCGCAACACGATGCTTCGGGGAAGTCTTGGCAGGATGAACCCTAAGTTTCATGGCAAGGCACCCTGTTCATATAGTTTCCTGTTTCCTTCATTGGGATCAATGAATTTTGCACTATCGTGCTGTAATCAACTGTTGTTTGACTAGTGCTTGTTTGTTTGTTTGGTTTTTTAACTTGTCCTTCTTATTCTTTATCTTGTTCTTTCATCAAGTTCCTCAGGGAGTTATCCCATGCTGGTTTTGATCACAGCTATTTTGTCCCCATTGATAGGTGCCTGTCTTATTTTTAGAGTCATTAATTTGCCCTCCTCTGACATTTCAGTAGGAGCGTGTTGCAGCCTCCTGGCACCCTTGCATTTGTTTCTGGATTCTTTGTTGTACATCTGGCTCAGCGATGGCCTTCACACTTATTTCTTTACACATACATTCCTCATTTGCACACAAAACAAAATTAATTTACACAGAACATTTTGAACAGAAACATCCTTCTACTCTGTATCCAGCAATCACTCACACCCCCTTTACTGTCCTTTGTTCCAGTTTCTTTCAGGTATCCTTGGGGGTGGAGAGGCTATCTCTTGTACCAGCTGAAGACAAAATGAAGGGGTCTCCCAGGGTTTAAATAGACTCTCTTGTGGGCAGAGACCCCCTCCTCTCGTCTATGCAAAGTCCAGCTCCACGATGGAGTTTTGGAGTCACATGGGCAAGTTACATGTCCATGCATGACTCCGTTTTTACAGACAGCAGCCATTGTCCACATGCTACACCTCTACCCTATATAACGCGACCCAGTATAACACAAATTCAGATATAATGCGGTAAAGCAGCGCTCCGGGGAGGTGGGGCTGTGTGCTCCGGTGGATCAACACAAGTTCGATATAGCGTGGTTTCACCTATAACACGGTGTGATGGGGTTGGGACTCACCACCGCAGGGCTTCCTGCTGACTCATCAGGGAATTAGCTCAGTCCAGTGTGGAGCGCCCTTCACTGGTGGTGTCCTGTCCGTCTCTCACCCTCTCTTGGACCCGGGTTGCTCCTTCCGTGTGATGTCCTCTTCAAGACACTGCCCTCCAGCAGTGCTTCCTAGTCCTCGTTCACCCCCTTACGGGGGGGGGGGGGAGGAGCAGTCTTTCACTTTGCCCAGCCACAGCGGCCAACCACACCCCAAAGTCTAACCCCTTTTGCCAGGGGTCCAGTGTAGTCCACTATCGCCACATCCAACAGCTTGGGTGTATGTGCCATGGGGAAGAGGGGGACCCAGGCCTGCCCTCTACTCTAGGTCCCGACCCAGGGACCCTTTGGCGGCAGCCTTCCTGCCCTCCTTCTCTCCCCTTGTCTGCCTCTCTCCCTGGGTCACTTCCCCTTTGTCTCCTTTGCACCGGCCCGGCCCTTCCCTCAGGGCCTGCAGCCTGGCAGATACCGGGCTGGAGTTCCTTCTGCTCCCATCGCCTGCCCCGGACTGCGCTGTCCCTGGTGCTAGTCCCCTTGCACAGGAGACAGACCTTCACCCTCTGAAGGCCTGGGAGAGACTGCCTGCTCCCTTCCTGGGCAGCCTTTATATAGGGCTGAGCCTGGCCCTGATTGGCTATCTCTTACTCAGCCTCTGGCTCCCTAGCAAGCCTTCTCTGAATGGCCGCCCACCTGCACAGCCTCTCTGGCCTGCTGGAGCCCCCTCTAGTATAGTAGTGGGGCAGCCACCCCACTACACACGGTAAGATTTTTTTGGCTCCCAAGGACAGCATTATATCGGGGTAGAGGTGTACCTTGCACATCCTCGTGTAGACTTCTTATGTGGATTGGAGCCTTCCAAGATCCATTGTGCGTTACGTGCTTCTTGATTGGGCTTCTTGCACTTGCAAATTCCTTTCTAAAGAAGCTGACCAAATACCTTACTATGGCTATTTAAAATCAAACAAGCATACAGCCAATATTCATACCTTTGAATACAACAATGACACATGCATACAAATAGGATGAATATATTCAGTAGGTGGTAACCTTTACATAGATATGTTACATGGCATATGTAGCATAAAACATATTCTAGTTATGTTGTATATACATTCATAAACATATTTCCATAAAGCATTATGGGGTGCACCGTCACAGGACGCTGCTACCAAAGTTCTCCGATCAGCAACACAGGGACGCAGACACACCTGCTGTGGAGCACTCATAAGGACACACATCTCAAAGAACCATCATTACTGCACAAGGTGAATAACTTCTTCTGTATCAGAGATCTTCTGAAAGAGAGTGAAAGATATCCTCCCCATGTAAGAACAACCTTTAAAACATTGTCATCTTTTCTCAATCAAGTGAATTATTAGCGCATCTGTTGTTTAGCCAATGGTACTGCAACCAGCAGTTGTCAAATTCAGCTGTTATTTTCATTCCAAACCTTGTACAAAGCAAAAGGAGAGAGCCTCTGAGGGAAATAGCCTGGAACCTGAGGAGTTTGAGTTAGTTCCAAAGGTTGGAGTAGGGCATGTTGAACCTCTCAGCAGACAGCCTAAAAGGGAAAACCACACATATGGGTGACCCAGACTGAGAGAGTTCTGCAGTCTCAGGTCCGTTTTTCTTCTTCTTTCGTCTATCAAACCGCAAAGGACTTCTCTGCTGCTGGAGACAGCAACAGCTGCCCTCTGTGGGCTAGCAAACCGTTCATACACAGGAGGTGACCTGGATAAAAAGTTCTTATGTGCTTATCTACTGGCAGGGTGGAATTATACCCAAGTGTCTGGACTGGCTTAGAGGATATGAAAGAGAAACTTAATTGGGTATGGAAAACTTTCTGTTTAAACAGCCATCTACTTTATATCCTTCCTTAGAATGTTAAAAACATTTTTTCAAACTTTTGCCTAACACTCATTTACCTTACTTAACAAATTTAGGCCAGTTGAGCATTTATAGGTCGATAAATCTTACATGTTAAAATACAGAAATTTTAAACTTTCCTAGACATATGGTAATCTAAAGTAAGTAGGACCCCTCCTGATGACTGACCCAGTTTTAATCTTTCCTACTGAGTTATTAAAACGAATAGATCCCCCCTCAGATAACACATTAATTTCATGCAAAGAAGTTTTTCTTTTTTTTCTTTTTCTTTCTTTCAGGATTTTTCTTTAGCAACAAATATTTAACTCTTCCTGTTTTGTTCTTATTTTGTAGATTGCACCAGTAGAAAATGACAATAGCTATGATGAACTCAAAAGAGATGCTAAGATGTGTTTATCATTAATGTCTCAGGGATTGCTATATCCTCAACAAGTGCCTTTGGTACTCCAGGTGCTAAAACAAGTGAGTGTGATCTAAATTGTTTTAATGAATGCACATCACTTTAAAACCTGTTGAGCTTGTTATTCATACAAGGTAACTTGAGTTAACAATTATGAAACAAAGTATTTCTTATTTCCTGCCAGTGCTATATGTGCAAAGGTCTTCTGCAGTTTTTGAAATAGTTTGCTGCTTATATTCTTTGAGTCTGTATAGTGACACTGTTGTTAGTGTAACTACTTTATTAGTTCATTTCTATATTGAAGTGGCATACATCTCACCAAAATCATGAAGAATGTTTAAGTACTTAGTTAAACTCTTGATTGCAGTAATTCGCTGTACACCAGCCAAAAAGGCAGCACTACTGAGACTGCTGACTTCCTTTGCTTTGTAATAAATTCCATGTTAGTGTTTGGTCATCAGGAACAATAATCTGAATTAACTTTGTAAAATGGCTTTTGTATCAGCTTCCAATTTTTTATTTATTTATTTATTTATTCATTCATTCATTCATTCATTCATTCATTCATTGATTGCCAAGCAGAAATACATACTAATAAAGCATTAAACTCTTTGTAAAGAAAGGATTGCCTTTCTTCTAGTTTGTTCACTAAAAATTATACCCAGTGTTTGAAAGTATAGTTATCTTAAGCGGAAAAAGGATTAAACTTACATTTAGTTTCCTATGAGTATAAATCCTGTAAGGGAAAAATACATGAATGTTATGAATGTTTCACATTTTGTTTCTAACAAAATACTATCTCAAAAAAGTTCTATTTCCAGTTTTATTTTTTACTTGTCAAATATTTGCCCCAAATGGGATGTAAAATTTATTTTAAGGAATAAAAATAAGTAAGGGTTTAGTAACAAGTCGGCTTAAAATAAAAATGTCACTTTGAAAGGGACGTAGTTACAGTTAAGATTTAGTAATGGGTATTTTTAGTAAAAGTCATGGATAGGACACTGGCAACAAACAAAAATTCACGGACCCGTGACCTTGTCCATGACTTGTACTATACACCCCTGACTAAATCTTGAGTGTCCTGGGAGGCTCTGGGGACGCTGCTGGTGCTGGGGGCACTCTGGGGGTGTACTCCAGGAGAGCCACCTGCCGCCGCTCTGGGGGAATGCTCCAGGGTGCCTGCCGCCACTGCTGATGGGGGACCACCCAGGAACACTGCTGCTGGCGGGGGTGGGGCAACCCAGGACCACCACTGTTGCTGTGGGGGGGCCCAGTGCGGCTTGGGTATCCTTGTGGTCAGGCGCACTGGAAGGCTGCAGAAGTCACAGAGGTCCCGGAAAGTTACAGAATCTGTGACTTCCGTGACCTCTGTGGCAGACTTGCAGCGTTAGACATAGAACAGATTTCCAGTTGACTATCCTAAAAACAAGTTGAAATGTAGTTTCAGAAAGCAGCATGTTCTCTTGGGTCCCTCTCCTATTTTTTGTGGTTTTACAATGGTATTTTTCTGTTAAAATGTATGTCTGTCCTATTTATAACTTTGTGAAAGACCCACACAAATGAAAAGGAAAACAGACTATATAGAGAAATGGAGAAACTGATGGTATACAAAGTGCTATCAAATGCACAAAATAAAAAATTGAGCAAATGGATTTTTTCCTTTCAACCTTCATCTACTCTAGAAAAATTACCCATTACTGAAAATGGGTGTCAGCAGTGGATGCAGTCAAAGTGGTGGTACTAGTTCAACTTTCACCCATTGCTTACATCTTTTGTCAGTAATAAGCATTTTTTTCCACAGTTAAAGTCCACTATACAGACAATTTCAATGCAAAATTGAGCATAACTAAACTTTGAGCATAACTAACTGGCCACTTAGAACAGGCTGGTATCTGAGGTCATGAACAAATCAAAAGGTGTGATCTGTTTAGTTTCTCAGTTATATATCCAGTACTACAAATATTAAGTATTTAGATGCTTTGGAAATTTAGCCTCAAAGAACATAAACAAAACAAAGCTAACTATAAGGAGGGAAACCAACTTTTATGCGTAACTTGCTGCAGCAGCACAAAAGGTTTAAGTAATGGTACATGACAATATTTAGAGTAAATTAAATAGCTTGTCTACATGCCCTTGTTTTTAATTCCAACTGTTTAATCTTTGTTGCTTTCAGACAGCAAGAAGCAGTTCTTGGCATGCTAGGTACACAATACTGACCTACCTCCAGACTATGGTATTTTATAATCTCTTTATCTTCCTCAACAATGAAGAAGCTGTCAATGACATAAGATGGTTGGTTATAAAACTTTTGGAAGATGAACAGCTTGAGGTAAACATGAAGTTATACCTATTCCCATGTATTTTGACTTTCAGTGAAAGACATGGAACGTGAATAAAAGAAGCAGAACTAAGTTTTTTTATATTTATCTTTATATATCTAGTTTCTTGCCTCTTATTGTGTAACTTCATACAAAGAATAGAAAGTTTGCCATATTTAGCACTAATAGAAAATGCATTTGTGTTTAGTTTCTTGAATATATAATAAAAATGCTAACTTGTATAGAACTGTATTCTATAAAAAATTCTACTTTCAACAGGAAAACAAAATTATTCCAGAAAGCATTTCATTAGCAATAATAAAATGGCACAAGCCTCCCAATGTTTTCTGTCCTGTTTTAAATACAGTTGGAAGAGAGGTAGTATCTTTACAGTACTAAGGACATAATGGGTATTAGTAGAAAACCCAACCTTCAGATTTAAAATGCATTTCTACTCTAAAATCTGATTATGTAAAAATAACACTTTCTTACTCAGCAGAGGTTACCTGTGTGTATTCATTCACAGCAGCTGATTATAGTGACAAAAGTAAGTTTTTACTTCATTTGACTCAGATTGGCAATACTGGTTCTGCAGTACTATGAGCAAGTGAACTGGACTCTGTCTAGGCTAATACATCAGAAATAAGTTCCTATTGCAGAACCAAATTCTGGCTTCAGTTCTGAATGTCTTCAGTAGAGTAGCACAGATATAATTTGAAGACAATGGAGTTGCCCACATCTGAGGGCAGAATTTGTCTTGCAGAGCCATTATTACTGGTGTGATGCAAGAGTAATTTAAAAAACAAAAAACCTAAGCCTGACTCAGATTCTAGGTTGAGTCTGCAGGACTGACTGTTAGAAAAAACATCTTTTTACTTTTCAAATTGAAAAAATTTGCTATGGAAGCCATCAAAATATAGAAACATATCTTTACAATGACCTTTTTATACAGTTTCTTTTCAGAGTAGAAATGCATTTTAAATATCTTCCATTTATCACCACTGTTGAAGTAATTTTTAGTTTTGTGTCTTTGAGAGATTATCAGTGTTACTAGGATTTTCCAGAAGTTTAGTCGGACTAAGACCATGTCTACACTACAAAGTTAAGTTGACATCAGGCCTCCGATTTAAGCAATTTGATCTTGTGTGTCTGCACTACGCTCATTGTGTCAGCGGAGTGCATCCTCACTAGCAGGGCTTGCATTGATGCACGAAATGCTGCACTGTGGGTAGCTATCCCACAGTGCAAGTAGCCAAGTGGAATTTTGGGTTGGGTTTGCAGTGCCTTACGAGACCAAAACATTGGCATGGGTGGTTATGGCAACATGGCGTCCCTTACGTCCCTCCCTCCCTTCCTGAAATCAGCAGCAAACAAACCAAGCATTTTTCACATCTTTTTTCATAAACCTGGGTTACCCATGAGGACACTATAGCACGATAAGCATGGACCCTGCTCGGTTGTATACTGTTGTTGTGAGCATTACAAACACCTTGTGCCTTATCGTGCAGTATTTACATAGCCGATACAAGAGCCGCCACATGGAGTAGTGTGATGCCACACAACCAGCCCTGCTGGAAGACCTAGAGCAGAGCAATTCACAGTTGCTGGTGACAGTCACGCATCACCTTGACAGGGTTGAGCACCATTTCTGGGCCCGGGAAACAAGCACTGACTGGTGGGACTGCATCGTTATGTAGCTGTGGGATGATGAGCAGTGGCTGCAGAACTTCTGAATGTGTAAGGCCACTTTCCAGGAACTGTGTGAAGAGCTTTCCTCAGCCCTGAAGTGTAGCAATACTAAAATGAGAGCTGCTCTGACAGTGGAGAAGCGAGTGGCGATAGCTGTGTGGAAGCTTGCAATGCTAGACTGCTACCGGTCAGTGTGGCATCAATTTGGAGTGGATAAATCTACAGTGGGATCTGTTGTGATCCAAGTTTGCAGGGTCATTAACAGACTTCTGCTAAGAAGGATAGTGACTCTGGGCAACGTGCAGGACATAGTGGATGGTTTTCCCATGATGGGGTTCCCTTACTGCAGTGGGGCGATAGAACACACATCCCTATCTTGGCACCAGACCACCTTGCCAAAAAGTACATAAACTGAAAGGGGGATTTCTCAATGGTGTTGCAAGCGCTGGTGGATCACAGGGGCGGTTTCACTGACACCAACGTGGAATAGTCGGGAAAGGTGCATGACACACCTATCTTTAGGAACACAGATCTGTTCAGAAAGTTGCAAACAGGGACTTTCTTTCCAGACTGCAAAATAATCATTGGTGATGTTGAAATGCCAGTCATGATCCTGGGAGACCCAGCCTACCCCTTACTCCCATGGCTTATGAAGCCGTACACAGGTAGCCTGGACAGTGATAAGGACTGATTCAGCCATAGGCTGAGCAAGTGTAGAATGGTGATGAAATGTGCCTTTGGACCTTTAAAAGATCACTGGCGTTGTTTGCTTACTAGGTTAGACCTCAGTGAAAGCAATATCCCCATTGTTATTGCTGCCTGCTGTGTGCTCCATAATATCTGTGAAACAAAGAGAGAAAAGTTTCTGCTGGGGTGAGAGGTTGAGGCAGATTGCCTGGCAGCCAATTTTGAGCAGCCAGACACCAGGGCAATAAGAAGAGCACACTGAGGGACTTTGCTTCTCCAGGAGGCTTTGAAAACCAGTTTCAGCAATGAGCCAGAGTAATGTGACACTTACCTGTGCTGTTCCTTACCAAACTGTCCCCTCCATTGCATTTTCTTCCCTGTAAACTCCACCCCCACCAACTACCATGTACTGAATGGATAAAGAGCCTTTTCTGCTCAGTCCATTAAGTTTTATTATGCACACAAACACACAGAGACAGCTAGGAAAAGTAAGATAACCTGGGGCAAAAAGGGCTGATAACACTGTGGGGGGAGAAACAAGGAAAGCTTGCTTACAGATGCACTGCAGTAACAATCAAAGGTGTGGGAATGGGCTCTTTCTGGTCCTTGTGCCCTCCCCTGGTGTTGAGTGCAAGGGATACCGAATACCCCACCATCCCCGCCTCATAGGACGGTTGTGGGAGGAGGATGTAGAACTCGGTGCTGATGGCAGCAGGTTCAGCATAGACTGCAGAGGGACTCTAGCATCCAGCAGCCTTTCTTGGACCTCAACATGTCTGATTGCTTCTTCATAATCCGCAGCATCTCTTCCTGACTGGCATGCTCTTGTTCCCTGCATGCTCTCCTGTCCTCCCTGTCCATATCCAGTTTCTCAGACAGTGTAATCCTCCATACTCTGAGCTCCGTCTTGTCACTCTCAGAGGCGTGCATTAACTGATTAAACATGTCCTCCCGAGTCTTCTTTTTCCACCTTGTAATCTGGGAGGTACTCTGCAATCCTTTGCAGAAAGTTTCTGGGAAGGGCTACCTTATTTTGTCCACCACTGTGCCGTTCCGCTATGGGCTGGGACTCCTAGCATTTACACTCATCTCCAGTGCCAAGGAAGACAATTCCGGCACGGGACTCTCGGCACTGCTCTCCATCACTAATGCCAAAAAAGAATCAGAGAAAAACTGACCGGGGAGCATTCCCCAACCCCAAGGTCTGCGGGGCATAGAGATTCTGACAGTGTATGACTCGTGCTGGGCCATTCGGAGATGCCAGTGGTGCATAAGGTACTGTTGACTCCGACCCCGGGAAGGGCACTATTGAATCCGGCACCTTTGGACTCTCCACCAAGAGAGAGCCACCGGAGTTCAACAGCCCTGGTGCTACCATCCACACCGGAAGCATTTGAGGTAGCGAGGTGTCACTCCCAGTACCACAATCTCCCACCATTCAGGAGCTAACACTGGCAGCCCGGTGGAGGAGATCTCTGAATCTTTCCATGCCCTGGTAGACATCTTAGCAGCTTCAGGGCCATCGTGGGTGGCTCTGCCTTTGAACGATGCAATTTTGGACCCCATCAGGGCCTTATGGCAGACTCCTGTGTCCCTCCAACCTATTGCAAAGAGGATGGAGATAAAATACTTTGTCCCTCCCAAAGGGTATAAATTTCTGTACATACACACACCACCGAGCTCGTTGGTTGTTTCAGTGGCAAATGAGCAGGAGCAGCAAAGTCAGCAAGGGCCAACTCCGAAGGCCAAAGATGCCAAAAAACTAGACCTTTTTGGCAGGAAGGTGTACTCAACTGGCGGCCTCCATCTCAGGATGGCAAACCAGCAAGCACTCCTGAGCCAATATGATTTCAACTCCTGGAGTGCAATAGCAAAATTCAAGGAGCTTTTGCCTCAGGAGTCAGGCGAGTTCTTGGCCCTAGCTTTAGAGGGGAAATCAGTGGCAAGGAAGTCCCTTCAGGCAGATTTGGATGTGGGAGACTCAGCAGCCCGATCTATGGCTTCAGCTGTGATCGTGAAAAGAAGCTCATGACCTCAGTCCTTGGGGTTGCCCTCTGAGGTGCGGCAGACTGTGCATTTGAAGGCAAGTTGCTCTTTTCTGAACAAACAGACTTGAAGCTGCCTAGTCTGAAAGACTCCAGAGCCACCCTGAAATCCCTGGAGTTGCGTACACCGGCTCCTGCCAGGAAGCACTCTAAGCCCCAACCGATGGCACGCTTCTACCCCCCACAGCAGAGACAAGACTATAGCAGAAGAAGGAGTAGAGGCTATAAGAGAAGTTCTCCATCCCAGTCCTTGTCTGCCCCGGTGCCTGCCTCCCTCTCCACACTCCCGAGGCAATCTGCAGGGTCTAAGCAGGCCTTTTGTTGGAATGCATCAGGACAATGTGTGGATCTGATTTCTCCTATATTTGTGGACTGGATATCCCACTTCTAGTAGGGATGGGCCCGCATTACCTCAAATCGCTGGATGCTACACACAATAGATCTGGGATACACTCTTCAAGTCAGTTGTTCCCCTCTTTCCCACCCTCCCTTCCCATCCCTCTTCAAGGACCTTCTCACAAGCAACTTCTGGACCAGGAGGTGCAGGCGCTTCTAAGGTGGGAGCAATGGAAGAAGTTCCACCGGAGCTA